AACAAGCCATCAATCTAGTGTGTATTGCAGAGCACCTCTTCTATGCTTCGTGCATCCTACAGAGTAGCCTATACAGTTAGCAAAATGAGTCAAATGATGAGAATCTATAAAACAACTATTGGGATGTTCGAAAAAATCATACTGCCGCGATGTTTGGTGATTTTGAATGCAAATGACTTTTAAAAAGTCGGTAATAAAATATTATACGATTGTAGCATGTAATGACTATTACGGAGAATCAAACATCCACCAGTAGAGCAAATGGAAATTTGATTCTAGCATAGTTCACATTTGAAAGGTTGACATATAGTCTTCTTGGAGTCTCCTCCTCCTCAGAGCCTGGAAAGTTCAAGTTGATAGCAATCTACTAGACCAGACGCCTCCATAACCAAACAAAGAAACTCTAAACCAAGATTTCAATCACATTGAACACAGCTTTGCACACTCACCGCTTTCTATGAGGTTTCCACTAAGTATGTCACGTAGAGACCAACCGCACAGAAATCACATGGAAACATAATGTGTCACTCCCATCAGAACAGCAGTCTTATATAATGCCTTATATCACGCGTGATAATGAGGCATTCTTCCCTGCGGTTCATTTTTTTCTAGGCTCTGAGGAAGGCGATATCCGCCGAAAAGTCAGCTTATTCGTGAATAAAGAATAATAACACCGCGTTTGCTCAAAAAAAATACGAAGAATTACTTGATCGATGCCGAGGTTAATAGAAAGTCGGACGTGGCAGTTAGTGCAAGATGTACCAGCAGGATACTTCCGACTTGTAAAAGAAGCGCTGTCACTGAGACAAAAGATCGTCTTAGCTCGACAGTCAATGCACTTTCTCCGCCGCTGTCTAAAACATCGAGTCGTTCCGAACCTCATCAAACGAAGACGACTACACGACGTATGCGGTCTACCAGAGGACAGTCACCGAGTATTGGACGTCGAATTGCGATTACTACGCACTTGTCTACGAAGCCGACAAAACCAGATGTTCGCCAAGTGGAAGAAGCGCGAGACGAAGGAATACTTTTGTGCTCAATATTTGGAGGACCACCTCTGGAGGAGAATAGTGTGCGGGTCAGTGTTGATTTGCAACTCTATTAGGTCCAATGCTAAAGTAACTTTACGGAGAAAATTCGAAGACCTTTTGAGTAAATCACATAACACAGCTTCAATGGCGCTTAAAAATATCTCTAAAGAACATCAAACAGATCACATTAGGAAAGGTAATGTGCAAGAACATTCAAGGCTAACCGTGTTAGGAGGCATGACTCTCCCTGACGGTGCGCGCTCGTTATTAGAATTGGGGCCGAGTTTCTCCATCTGAACCCATTTCTAAGATAACCTTGCGTAGGGTCGCATGTGGTTACATGAACTTCAAGATAGACTCCGCAAAAAAGCTAGAGATGAAGCGCTAAATAGGTGCGAACAACATCAAGTGGGGGCTCTACCAATGGCACCATTTCCCCCGACGTTCTTTAGACAACAAGATCCTAACAATGAAGTTGATATCAAGATTCAGACATATACGAACGAAAATTTCAATACCTTTAATCACTATCGCGAGAAAAGATACAACTCCAACCTCACCGAAGTGCAAAAACGTGGTATGCGAGAGGTACCGTCGCTAGAGTTGTCAAAAAAGCAAATAGGATTGAAAAATATAACATTATCCGTTAGTGATAGGAGTGGAGAGTTTGTAATAATTCGTCATCAGTTAGATGTTGAGATAACGAAAAAGCATCTTGAAGATGCTTCACTTTATCGCCCATCATCTGAGGGGTTTAAAACCTTCAGTTATCTCTCAACTAAAAGTTGATTTACCAACATGACCTGTCTTGTACTTGTTTATAAAAACTCATAAGATAGTATCCAGCGATGATCTTGCGTCTAGCGATCCATTATTGTTTAAGATTAGACCTATCACTAGCTGTGTAGACGGGCGAACGTAGAGGTTTTCAACCCTAATATTTACCCAGTTGTTAAAACAAAATCCAGTTCACCTTACGAATACACAGATGTTTCTGGCTCGTCTACGTACTGCGTGGCCCAATTGCGCGTACATGACGGAGTCTTTCGGTGTTAGAGTCCTTAATGCTAACGAGCCGAATGACTCCACTATGCAAGCCATATTCGAACTCCTTATACGACACGAAGGAGTAATAAACATGTATGGTTTTGTGACAGAGCAGTTGATGGCACTCTTAAAAGAATGCCTGAACTGCTCAATCTTCAGATGGTCCGGAAAGTAGTACGCCCAAATTGGGACAGCGACTGGCATCAAGTCTTGCCATTGCATTTATGTCTAAGGTGGAAGCACCAGTAACCGATCACCGGCCGTTGCTCTACTGTAGATACATAGACGACTGCTTCGTTAATTGCTCAACACAAGAGGAAATGGACAAATGTTTCGAGTTGAATAAACAGCCAGAGTATATCAAGTTCATCGGAGAGAAACCGAGAGAAAAATGGCTTCCATTCCTGAACGTCTAAATTAACCTATCGGAAAACGGCTGCATTACGAAGTGGTACCGAAAGCCAAATAGCAAAAACATTGTCATTCATTTCCTCTCCTCTCACCCTCTCACACGAAAAGGGCGCTTATAAGAAACATGTTTCGAACAGCAACCAACGTTGTGCATGGGAAGAGAGCAGAGAAAGGAGTCCCGGAACTTGGTGCGACAAAAAACCATTTCTAATGCCTACGAAACTGCAGCTCGGGATAGATGTAGCGAAAATCCTAGGCCCCCCAAACGACAACTCTAGCGATAAAAAGGTCCCGTTTATCCTACCCTTCATCTCAAACGAACTAAGTGCAGCTATAAAACGCTGCTTAATAAGAGCCGGCCTAGAGAATTCGGTTAGAATAATCGAAATTCCACCGAGCACTCTAAAAAGCCAACTCGTTCGCAATCGTCTGTATGACCGTCTACGTACAACGCAAAATTGTGTAGTGTGCCTCAACGGTAAAGGTGGTGATTGCATGCGGGTACAGTTTATCTGAACCCTTGTAAAGCGTGCGGAGACGAATACGTTGGCGAAACGGGTAGACCACTATAAAAGAAAACCTAGTCGGTAACATTAAAGTTAAACCAAGTACTCCACTAGGAAGGCATAGGAAACAGAGAGAACGGGGAAAACTTTGTAGTAGAAATGACGATTCTCGCACAGGAGTAGAAAACACAAGCGCGCAAAATTCTTGAGCCGCTCTGGATTAATTCCAAGAATCCGAAAATGAACGGCAGGGAGGAAACCTCATAATCATGCGTGATATCGGAGAGTATTTAAGAGTGTTGTTTAGATGTGAGAGGGACGTTACGCTTCCATGTAAACTTTGTGCGGTTGGTCTCCACGTGGCATATTCAGTGGAAGATTCATAGGAAGCAGTGAGTATGCGATGAAGCCATTCTGTGTTCAATGTGATTGAAATCATGCCTTAGTATTTTCTCTGTTCGGTTATGGAAGTGTTTGGCTGAATAGATTGCAGTTAACTTGAGCTTTCCAGGCTCTCAGGAAGGCGAAATCCACTAAAATGTCAGCTTGTTTTTGAATAAAGAATAAAATAACACCTTGTCTTTGTTCAACAAGAATATGAAGAATTACTAGACCAATTTTCACTAGTTTATGGAAAGTGTAGAAAAAATTTCGTGAGCGCATACTTACATATTTGGGACATGTTTTAGATCCAACGCGAAACCTCGTAACCAGAAAGTGCCTCACCTCAACAACACGTTTAACCGTCTGTTCATCGTCGTCATCTTCTACGTAACCAGGCATATTCGAACTCGGATATGATGCAGAATCTGCAGCTTCAACACGTACTTCGGCTGAGAGGGCAGCTGGAGTCGTTTCACCACTGTCTACGAGATCATCATCAACACCAGGAGTATCATCTGCAGATAGATTTCGATAACACATGCTGAGAACACTTAAGAATAACCTATTCTTGTCCTTAAACACGCAAATGTCGAAAAATGAATCTACCTAGTTCAATTATCTCGAAATCTCCTGTAAAGCACAACTGCTGTCGACGAAATGGCGAACCTGTTACTTCGTCGCAAGCTTCGCCGAATGATTGACAAATGCTGCGGACAATGTTTCGCAGTACAAACGTCACATCCAAATTTACTAAAGCAACTGCATATAATCAAATCCAATAGAATCATTTGACGGGTAATTGCTGATAGCACTGAATAGAGTAAAAAAAACTGGTTGAAAGAAATGAATAGAAAGTTCTTCGCTTGATGTAGTGGATAGCACGTGAGCTCCAGAAAAGATAATCGCATTTTCGCAGCCCACCTGAGATTCTGAGTTTTGTTCATAACTTAACATGTCTGTGGTTGAATATAAGTGGTCCAAATTCTTATTTAAGAACTAAAACGAAGTCAGAAAACGAAGTACAGGGCAGATGTATCACTTGATCGTCTTTGAAAGTAGAGTTTTGGTCTGGAACTCCGAAGAAACAGTGGTTTATTTACCATTAACACATTCAATTCGCTCACAATCTCTTCCTTACTAGCTAAAAATAACGAAAACATTCGAAATGTAATGGAACCTACTTTGTTTCTCCTCAATCAACGCGTCAAGCTCTTTCACGCACTTTTTTGTACGTTTACCATTTTCTACGTGAACAGGCTGAAACGATTTCATTTCAAAACCGAAGTACAGCATATGCTTATAGAAACGAACATATTCTAAAGTCCCTGACAAAAGCCGCTTTGACTCATGATAAAACAAAGTGTTTAGAATTCAGATCAATACGATAACCTAACCTACCTCTGGAACTATCAAACTTGTATCCAAAACAATTAATTGTCGTTCATTTGAGCTACTGACCATAATGGCATGTGAAAGACGATGATTCTGCAGATAAAGCTCTCATTCGCAATTCTAATCAACTTGGAAAGCAACATGGTGCCATAACAAATCAACATGATAATCATTAACATTCTTCGAAAATCTTCCGTTGCTAATCATAATCACAATATTATCCCAGTATATAATTATGTAAAACATACCATTTTAAATTGCTAAGACAAGGTTGGTAAAAATACGTATTCGGCTAACTCTTCGACGTCTTGCTCCTCAGAACCAAATTGAAAAACAAATTAAAAAGAAATCGAAGCGTTAGCCGAATAAACATTTTTCTATCAACCTCGTTTCTGCCTAATAACCGAAGAAGGTACTGATTACTCCTACCGAGGTTTAGTGGGAGTCGGTGTTAAGATTAGTACAACATGCCTGTTGATGTTGAGAACTGTTTTTCAGGGAGACGTTAAGACAACAATTACGACAATAAAACTGTACTAGCTTCCGAAACATATTAATGTCTTAAAGCAAAAATCAACTACCTGTAAAGCAATTCTAGAGGAGAATTTGAATTTACACAGTTTGCATATCATGTTAGCTTCATCCATATGCATTCCAAAATGCAAAAGAAAAGCAGTGCGTGATGAGAAAATCTGTAAAATCTTCCTTTAATCAATCTGTGTAACTCGTTAGTGTCGCATAGTATTGCTATATACCATGTCGAATCCACAACTGCATCTCTGCTGCATAAAATGTGACCGACACTGATGAGGCCAAAAGTCCTCCACATGGCAAAAAGTCATACTACAGTCAGAACATTGAAACCTGCAATTGTAATATCACTACAAAACCGAAATAAACCAAAACTACGAGTACTACTGATTGGCATTATTAGTTCACAGTGTAAAAATTCATTCAACAATTGCCCAAATTGTGGAGGCTAATACTATTTATTAGCTTATTTTGTTCCCACTAAAAGTAAAGAAACCATAGTTTCGAAGCGTGAGCTATCGCGCATAATTTGAAAGCTTTACACAAACCTGCGAAGAATATCCAAATGCTTGTTAGTCCAGTGCACTGTCATTTCCGCAGCATTCTTCATTTTCTGCTGTCCGGAGCACAGAGCACATTTGCGTGTCTGTGTGCACATGTACAGAAGATGTGCGAAAGCTCCACGGACTAGCATTCTGTGACAGAAGCCGCACGTCTAAACAGAAAGCGATATCTGCTTCCAGTAGTCTCATACCTAATCTGAAATCATTCACCCATGATCCATCTCTTTTCTCCATGTGTCTATGCGTAAGATGCGCCTTCATGGCTTCGTGGGTCGGTATCGGGATGTAATCTTCAAGACATAAATTCGTGAAGTGAAAAAAAAGGATAGAATAAAGAGTCAGAAAGACGGTAAGATATATAGTAAGCAGTCATCGACTTGATAAAAACCGTGTAACGCCACGGTTTTCATCATGGCATAGCTGTCACGAAAAAACTATAAGACTGAATTTAGTCCATCAAAAGTTTATATATCTTGGAATGTATTTAGCACTTTTTGAACACATATGCCACCATCAGTGATTTCACGGATGGTACAAAAACAGTAAAGGCAATTTTAGTTTTCTTAACCCTAAGTAATATATTTCCGAAAGATGATTAATTGGGTTAACACCATTACAAATTATGGCAAAGGAGCTGCATAATCCAACTGAAGGCATAATAACTAATTTTTCACCATTTTACTTCATTTCACCTGTAAAAATATTGTGGCTACCATACATAGACCAGCATAAGGGGTCGGTACCAGCCTTCTGATAACTTCCACTAATTCTTGATAAGTAGGTTTATGCCTAGAGGCACTTATGAAGTTCATGACATAACAAAGCTTTGCAAGAGACTATAACCTATTCATCACGTTAAAGAAATGTAATAGCTTCCTTAGAGGATGATTTGTGTTTTAAGCTTTTAAATTAAAATTTTCAATTAAAACCACTTTTAATTGCGCTAGAAAAGAAAAGTTGTATATTGCTGCGAAATTTTTTCGACTCCGAAAACTTTCATTTCAATTAATAAACTTCATTAACTGCTGAGACATGCTTGTTGAAAGGTTAAACTATTTTGGCACACATATAAATGGAAGTAAAGATCAATTAACAGGCTTAAAACTTGGCATAGAGAGATTTCTACTGCTTGCAGTACAAGAGTCAGTTTTATGATTCTCAAATTTATTTTAAATGACCCTAATCACAACCATGCGCAGATCCCATCATTTGCATCCGATTTTCTTTCCTTCGTCCACAAATGTTTTCGAACAGATCCCTTATATTTCAACTGATGTTTAAGAACTTCATCCTCTTTAAGGATGTCGTAGAATGCTGATGGAATCAACTCTCCTTAACCCTGGAAATAACCGCACTAAAGGTGTGGTCACGCCAATTGAGGGAAAGCGCTCGCTTAAGAGATCAAACCAGAACCTCGTTTCCCGATCAAATGGACCACTCTAACCACTGCGCTAATCCTCCGTTCTACTATTTTTGAGAAAAAACAAGAAACTCCATCTAAGCGATATATAAGACAGAACCTTGTGAGCTTGTTGTAATTCTGCACTTCATAAATCGACTTATTTCTTTGTTTCCCCTAGCTTTCTCTCATACATTTCTACCTTGATTAAACCGTCTTTAGCTGTTACGATGAACGGCCTAGTTCACTGTTTTAAATTAATTTTGCTGGATAAGAATCAACGAATAATTAAGTTTGAGACATGTTGGCTCACGATGACTTCAACTTCGATAACAATTGGGTTTTCAGTGCAAGGTAGTTTGCGCATCACAAGACTCCTAATTTAACTTATAAAAGAGAGCCGAATCCAAAATATATAAACCTTGAAAGTTCGTTGGTGGTGACGAGTCCATGTGCCACATAGAGGCACAGTTCCTTTCCTGCAACATATCTCACAAAAGAGGCGCAAATACGCACTAACGTCCAAATTTCGCTCAACAGGTTGTTAAACCTACAAAATTTTGGCGCACAGTAGAAGGTAGAAGTTACTCAATAGCAAAAGACAGTTTGTATAGAAGATTTCTCTTAGCTGAGGAATTGCCGCGAAGGACGATTCCTACCATCGGCAACTCTAGAAAAACAGGAAAAAGAACAGGTAAAAAAGGAGTGTGGGAATCGATAGTAAGTTGTTTGCAAAGTTGACAGTGCAACTGTTAGTGATGCAGTCCACCATTATTTTCATATCTTCGTCAGAGCACCTTACCTCGGCTATCCCAAAATTGCAAAGAGAATAAACTCGACCAGCAGCATACAACATTCATAAACAAGATAAAATACTCAGGCAGTATCCGCTACAACACGTGAAGTCTTCGAGGACCTTTGTGGACGACGACTGAGAAGAAAATAAATCGAATGCGAGAAGTGGTGGGATCCGCACAGTAGCTGTTCAGTGAAATAAAATAAGAAAAAAATACATATATAAACGTATTTAAAAATGAAAACAAAAGCACAAATACAAATACACGTTAACGCATGCATATATGAAAATGCCTTCAAAAGGTTTACTGTTTCACCGCGGCTGGTAGGTATTCCTTGGTGTCGGGCTGCAATGTAAAGTGGGCTGATTCGTCCCCAGTAGGGCTTTCCAAGCTGAGAAGGAGTCCAGCCTTTACATTGGGGAGACCAGATAGAAGTAAACCAATACCAAGATTCACCACCGTCCTGGTATCAAACTAGTCGCATAGTGGCAAATCTTCCTCCGTTCCAGAAGGGCGGGCCTGCCTGTTGTGGGGATGAACTGGGAGAGACTGTTGCCAGATTGTCCTCCGAACTCCAGGCAACCACAATGGCTGAAGCAGCAAGACTCAAAAAAAAATGGAAATTATGCTGGGACCCGCACAATCAGTAATGGGCAATCCAAGTATCCGAATATGCCAAAATGTGTACAAACATATACATATGCATATGTATACATATATGTATACATGTATACTTATATACATAATATATATACATATATATATGTATGCACACATACACGTATTTATACATTTGTACATGGACACAAATGCTAGGATAGCGAAGAGCTGTCCGTGGGATCCGAATTCCACTGTTCACGCAGAAGCATCTCTCCATTTCTTCTCCTGCCACAGTGTTTGTGGAGCATGCCTTCCTACAGCAACGGTAAGTTGCAAATGAACTCAACCAAAAATATGTGTTTTGTAAACTGCCAACTGATAAAAATAGCTTCTCATGGATCACACGTAATATAACATCTGTACTGGACAAATTACCGAAAGACAAAAATTCCGTGCAGAGGTGAAAGCTTCGCGCACCAAAACAGACCCCCGAAGAGGCCTGAACAAAAAACAAAGGAATTGCTAGTGTATGCGAATTCAAACATTTCTTACCAACACAGAATGGACACCGAGTCCATCTTTCTGTATGTCTATTCAGATGTCTTGTTAGTTGTTCAAAACTAATCATCTCCATACCACATAGATAACAGGAACAAAGTATCTGTAAGTAAACAGGTAATATGCACAAAACATCTGACAGAAATATGTTGCAAAACATCATTAATGCATGTCACATGAGATAATGAACTTCGTGAATTAAATGAAATTTTGAAAAAAGGATGGAAAACCCACATTTCTTGGCTGTTTGTACACGACAACTCTGGTGTTTAGATCCTTCGGAGTTTCCATACTTTGCGAATTCGGAAGGACCTCCTTTATTATAATATTTTCGTAATCACCAAGACCTCTGCTAATGTGCAAATTTTGATGCTCAGGGTACACCTGGAACAGTGATATAACCAAAAGGGTAAAAACATAGAACAGCAAAAATGTTTCCTTGATTTCTTAATGATCGAGCACGAGACAGTTACTACAGCATTGATTCATTCATAATAGTTAACGCTTCGGTAGGAAAAACGTTTGCGGAAGAATAACTTGTCTACCTGCAGGGTAGCAGTGTCATATACAACAGAGCTAAGATGTTCACGGAACAGATGAAGATAGGCATTAGCCAAAGACATGCGTTTTTTGCATACTCCACAATCAGCCGAAATGTTCTTCACAGAGGTGTCTGAAAATCAGAATATTTTACGGAAATTATATGTAAATCAGGTGTTCTTCATCAAACTTTCAACATATAATCTTATTTACAGATGGAAACACTATTTTAACAAATAGTGAAACGCAATGTTTCTGTTTTCGGGAACTATATATGGCGAGCTTCATACGTACACCTCTACGACCTTACATTCGCCTGTTGCTGTTTATTTATAGCTCTAAGCACTAGTGAGAAAATACTATTTAAAATAATTTTACGCCAGTGCACAATATAGTGATATACGGGAACACGACGACATACAGACAGTATGATGAGATTGCAAATAAACTCCTTCTACTAACCCTTGAAAAGCATTGAACAACGTCCCATTTTTCCATGACGTGTTAACGCCTCTCGATCAGCGAAACCATCTGAAAAAAAACTTCCTGTTTAGGACACTAGGATATTCTCGAAAACCGATGACGCACCTCCACACGCTCGACATACAAGAACATGATTTGACTGAAGATGGTCTCTCATGAATTGTGGCGTAGTTGTTTGGTGGGCACAAAATTTACACCGAAGCATATTCTGAAAATAACAATTTATTTCACGTTACACATCAATGAAGTTAACAAATATTCGACAATTTCACCACATTAGAGACCTATCTGAGCTAGAGTAAAGAGGCAAAAGCCTCACTAATGTATCTCCTGCCCCTCTAAGAATTTAACTTAAGTAAATACTCCAAGAAAGAAGTGGTCACTTACCCACTACACTACGTATAATACACTAAAAGATCAATGTATAAGTAAAACAACGAGGACAAATCCACGATTATGACTGTGAAAACAACTCACATTAACCAAGATAAATGGTTTGACACAGTGCTGATTATTTCCTCTAGACGAAAGCGGTAGACTAGTATGTTGGTATTCACTACTTGCAGTTTGCGATTTCGTGGCCACGTTTTCTAGAGACGGAAGAGCTCTACGTCGAACTTGTGCGCCACTGCGGTGAATAATTCGAGGCCCATTCTGACAACTGACAGTAGGAAATCCATTCTTCTGATCCATATATGCCAATTTAAATCCTCTAAAAGGGAGTTTTTTTTTTGAAAACAGCAATCTCGACATAATGCACTTTTTAGCCAACTTCGACTGTAGATTAAAAGGTGATTTCGGTAGCAGAGTTCCGAATCGCAACCAAAGGGCATTGTCCGTGTCACGAGCGACATGCGATCTCTTGTCAGCGGGACGAGATGAGATATCTTGCAGACTACCATCTACAAAAGATTTTATACAATAAAACATAATTTTTATACCTTCTTGTATTGTTAGGATCTTCTACCCTTTTTGACGAACCCAAAATTGGTTATTAAAACAATATTTATTCAATAGTTGACAACACTTCGGTGGATTTTCTGTTCATCAGAATCTGGAAAAGTCAAATTGGTAAGGAATTCACTCAGCTAAACACCTTGATGACCCATCAGAACGAACTCGAACCTCAGATTTCAACCGCATCAGTGACAAAAAAAGAGATGGAATGTATCCAAAATACTTCCAGAGTTTCAGCTCCATGGTGTTACAGATTTCTGCATAAAATCACAACTTCAATTTCAATTTCAATATCACAAGCCGATTTTTTAAAATAAACTAGGCACATTCCTCATTCTTGTGACCTCTTCGCTATTGGCCTTCATCAGCAAGTGAAAGACATAGAAAAAAACCGTTAAGTGTTTAAAGAAGCTCTTTGGTATGCGATTTCTGTTGGAGTTACCAAACTACTTGGTTGAATACACTGCGAATCAATTTGACATTTTCAGGTTCTCAAAAAAGGTGATAGCCACCGGTGTAGTCGAATCTATAAAGTGGGTGAGATAATGAAAAATGGTTCGCTTGCCTATTACTTTTAAAAACTGCAAAATTAGCGACGAAGCCAACTGATTCAATGATAGACATTCCCACGTGGAATCAAATTCTCCGAAAAACGGCTAATGTCTTCTACTACACAGGTGCCGAATAACTCAAGCGATAAGTCACACATGACTCATGCATTCTTGAAAATAACTACCCATAAAGGATAAAAACATTAAGTTCTAGGCGTTGATCAATCCCCAAGTTATGCACCATGCATTCAACTTTATTGAGCATCGTTTGGAGGTGACTGAACGCATATCTGACCTTTACAATGACTCGCAATGGCCTATCGATGTATCGAGCCAGTGCTGCTGTTCTCTCGGACAAGTTTGGTACCGATTTGCCGACACCGGAGGGATTGAAGGCTTGGTGGACCATGGACCGGGAATCGATTCCACATGTGTTGCAGGGCGTCTCCAACCACTTCGCCACACGCTCCTTGCAACGCGTACGTGGAATCGATCCGAGCACTGCGCCAACTACCCATACCAGACTTAAACGATCACATTTCAACTCGCAGTGAACAATACGAACAGAAATAAATTAGCATTGAATACGTAGATCTTTAAAAATAAGATACCTTCTTCAGTTCATTTATTTTTATCCATTTACAAAACCAGTCATCACACCTACGGTGCGGATTGCAGCACTTTTTCCACTCGACTCGTTTGTCTTTCATTCACAGTCCACAATGCCCTTCAAACAAAGCTCGTGTTTTTCGGCTGCTGCTTGAGGATTTGGCCTTCTTTACTAGTGTCATAGAACTCTGGTTGAGTCGATTTTCCTCATAATAGGCGATCTAAAGCGAATCCACTCGGATTTGGTGCAAGCATTGGAAAGGGGGGTCGAACGAGCGCCTTCCATTTTTGATCATTGTATCACTAACCACTCTGTTACCCCTGCACCTTAGCTTATTTCTCAAGTATAAAACCCTTCTCGATTCGAGAAGATGGCTCACTGAGGAAGATCTGGCTCGACACGAAGGCGAAGACGCAACGTCGAGGCGAACAACAAGCATGGACCATCGACTCGGATCACCGGCTCTGAGGAAGACGAAGATGTCGAAACGTTAGCCGAAAATAAATATATTTATCAACCTCGTGCAAGCTTATCAAGAAAGAATAGATATTGATTAGTCACACCGAGGTTTAGGGAAGGTCGGTTTCGAAAAAAAAAAATCTGGTAACAATTCATCGACCGGGGAATAATGGTGGGCATGCTTTGTGCGGGGCATGACATTAGGAACAACGATCTGCTTGTCCTGTTAAGGTACCTCTAAGCATTGCGCTGCACAACCCCTACAATTTGCTGAGTACGCCTCTACAATTACAAATATGTTATCATATTAATATCAATATGTACTACCACATACAATTACAATATTAACAGCTGGGTTAATCAACGAGTCTTAAAGAATACATTAATTATATCAATCATATCAAGTTTAAAGCAAAGTCCGTTTTGAAATATTGTTATTACCTATTCTCCCAACGAGTTACCGCCTCATCGTCGCTGTGAGGTGTTGCTGGGTGTCGAGTTGTGACGTGCAGCAGGACTCATCTCTCCAGTACAGCTTCCCAAACTGATAAGGAGACCTGCTTTTCCATCAGGAACCCCAACTAGGAGTAAACCAATACCAGGATCCACCGACGTCCTGGTATCAAACTAGTCGCATGGTGGCAAATTTTTTTCTGATTCACAAGGGCTGCGACTGCCTGTCGTGGTGACGACCTAGGCAAACTTTGGCTAGGCTGAGCTCGGGACTCCAGAGGAACACAAGTGCTTAACCAGCAAAACCCCGAAAAAGTGGAAGTTGTCCTAGATTAGCACAACCAGTGAAGATGGACCATCCAAGTATCAAAGTAAATTATCCTCTATGCTATCTGAAGATCTGGCTCGACACGAAGGCGAAGACGCAACGTCGAGGCGAACAACAAGCATGGACCATCGACTCGGATCACCGGCTCTGAGGAAGACGAAGACGTCGAAACGTTAGCCGAATAAAGTTGTGCATCAACCATGCGTAAGCTTATCAATGAAACATTGACATTATACAGACTGATGATTACATCAATAACCATCTAAAAAAACCAGAACAAAAAAGGATTATATCAATGAGTTTTTAATTTCTCATAAATGTTATTCTTTGTAAAACGTCCACGCGCTGAAATAAAATAAATCAAGACTATACGCTTACTTATCTCCGAAGCGACGCCAAGATGGTTGTTAGCTTTATGTTCAACATAGATTCCATGCTGAATTGCCATATGACCACGAAGAGCTGCGATAGAGCACAACATCAGGGAACAAGATGGGCACTCAATCTCCCTATTCCTAGGTGCTGGCGGGCAGTAGAGTGAGATAAGCTATAAGATTATATGCCGATGTAAATGAGAATGTTCATGTAGTGTAGGAAGTGTGAAATAATTCTGCCAACCTTTGTACCGTTCTCCCCACCACATTTCAAGTTATGAGCTTGTAAGCTGACCGCTGATGACAGAATCGTGTTACACGAAGAGCAATACACGTACCTACAAAGAAAAGATATTTTCTATACAGTTTTGAAAAGGAAGTTAAAGATTCGCGAAAATTTTGAAATCTCACGAAAAAGAAAATTCTCAGAGAGAATGGACAATGATGCAATACTCAATTGGTAATGGTTACAACGTTAGCAATAAACTGGTGAAGAAATGATGTAGCTACTAGTGAAAACATTTGAAGGAAAAGAAAACTAAAAAACCGTTTGAATAACAGATTGCCAGATAAGAGCTCCAAGCAAGCAGAAAGAGGCACGGATACTTGCTTTCTAAACTTCGCTGCTAACATCGCAGCAAACATGTCGACCTCAACCGTTTCCTAAAAATATGTAAACATTAGGAAAACAACGAACAATTCGAACTGAAATAATTCAGTCGTTGTTAACTAGAGCCAAATGCCGGAAAACGTAGAAATAAAGACTAAATCTATTGCCGAAATCAATCATTCAGTACGAAATGTACGATTCCGCAATGGGAAATTTTCATACGCGTATTTGATCGATGTCCATTGGTACCCACTGCAGCATTACAGTTTCATTTTTGCTTGACCACTTATCGAACCCATTGCGGTCTACGAATTTCCCGCAGATGCTCGCCACATCTGTGGTTCATAGGCCATTGAGTATTAGGAAAAAATACAACGAAAAGCTATGCGTCGAAGGACGAACGGCATGAAACATGCTGAGTTCTATGCGATTCGCCTTATCGCCAACGTGTTTTTAAATCTAAAACTTGTCTCATAATTTGTGCTTTTTAATATAAATTCGTGTCCAATTTGGGACGTTTTAACTAAAAAAGAGGCAAATTAAGACAGTTTTTGATCTATCCTTGCCGAAACACTACTAATGGTACTGAACAACGCTGGTTTCCAAAGTTTGTGAAGGAAATGAAAGCAATAAAAATGAGATGTTCAGGGACGATCCGCTGCCATAAATGACCACCAAGTGGGATGTCATTTGAAGAAGACAAAAGAAAAGCTTGAAGTTTTGCTGGAGATCTCAGTGCTGTAGGAGTAGGGGCCTTGAGTTTCTCAAACGAACTAAACAGCGAAGCCATATGATAGCAGAAAGACCACTATTATTTTGACTATTTTATTATTTCACATGACCCGCCACTACATCTACTCTGCAGGTTACATCACTACTTGCATCCGATTCCTTTTACTCGCATTCATCGTCCACAACGCTCTTCAAACAATTCGCGTGTGGTGTCTGCTGCTGCTGAGGATTTTGTCTTCTCTAAATGTCGTAGGACGACGGTTCAGTTGGTCCTCCTTGCAATTTTGGAGACAGCTGAGGTAAGGTGTTCCCACGTAGATTAGAAGAGAGCGTTGGGGAAAGAGATCGAACTAGCACGTTCCTGGTGTCCCCATCACTAATCACTGCGCTATCTCCAACGGCGCTAACGCTTTTTGCATTATTATGACGTGCGACAAAAACGGATTCTTTACGACAACCAAGGATATTCTCCGCAAGATGGGAAGTAAATTAAAGAGCGCGTCAATTCCTGAGGCATCGCAATTCCTGCGCCGACACAAGGTTACAATAATTCTTCCATTTTCGGTAGAAAGAATCATCCACTATAGCTTATTCCCGCGAAATCATTATCACACAGAATTATTGCTAGGAAATGGGCGATGTACACATCAGCACATTAATGTTTCATCACGGCATTGTAATCGGAAAGTCCCGACTGCCGACTGTTGGTGTTTAAAAAGCTGAACGTAAGTTAGTATTACGTTTAAATTCTGTCTCATCTCCTAATGCACCTTATTTTTTACCGACAGATAATCACTTTCTCTGGACAACTACTCTGGAAAAGAACCTTCTCAATCAAGAGAAGCTTAAAAGGATTTCGACGTCTTTGTTTCATCTGAATTACTCAAACCCTTACGCAAACGGAATGTTTGGAATATTAGCCTTTTTATTTACTGCATATTCTTTTTAATGGCAGGATATGTTGCGAAATATAACTTCTATAATGCTGAGATATTTTCAAAACTCCGGTCCGCAGGTGTCTGCGGTGGGAACGAACACGCTATTGTCCTTTCCGAGGAGTAACGCGTTCACCTCCACCACACCATGCGGGTCTTTCATTTCACCTGTCTCTCAGCTAGTTGTATCGATCACTTGCCATCAGCAATCATAGAGCTAGCTGAGAGACAGGCGAAACGAAGGACCCGCATGGTGTGGTGGTGGTGAACGCGTTACTCCTCGGAAAGGACAATAGTGCGTTCGCTCCCCAGCGCAGACACCTACGGTCCGGAGCTTTGCAAATATCTCAGTATTATAGAAGTAATAACGTGCACCCTCAAAAGTTTAAGAATTTTAGGAATTCTTTCTGAAACGAGATATATACCACTGAACAACTCAAGAGGAAGAGTAAGATCAAACAAACCGGTGATGATGCATAATCGATTGATACTGTCTTCCTGACTGAAGTTTGAAGTAGCTTAACCAGATTCGCGTAATCATTAACTCGAGTTCGCCAATCTAAGACCGCATCATCAGGATCACTTGTTCCATTTAACTAAATGAAACTGTCATCTAACCCGAACGACGGAGATTATGTCACAGTTGCAAAATACCGCATGAAAATAATCGTTAATCTGTTTTTTCGCTTCCTTTTCTTCTTCCGACTCCTCTAATGTCCTATAATCGTAATGTTCGTAGGCCAAATCCATGCGTACTGCAATACTGAGACATATTAAACCAACTTAATTTAGAAATGTAATCAATAACAATAACATACATTTATTTCCATTAGAATCCGTTTCCTCTTTTGATAAAACATTGGCCATTCTACCAATCTCGATACTGTTTAAAAGCTTTATTTCTGCATGTGGTTCAAAATCATCAATCTGAAAACAAATACAAAAAGATGGAGCATGGAGCAAACTTACATTGATCCTCCACAGATATATGAAAAGCACCACAACTCGTGTGAATCGCATTAGACGTGCTAAAATTTACACCAAGTAATTTTGGAGTGTTATACTCCCAGACGTACTAAATCATGGCTGAGAAGAGTTGGAGTTTTCATTGCCGGCGATCCACCACTAGCTGGAAGTCGTTTCTCGGCACCAATTACAGGAGGTCCATCACAGTGAGGTGGTGGATGAAACGTACATGTCGTTCGTAAATAGTCAGCAAGAAGAAGAGATTCAGAAAGATGTGATGTAAGATGAGCCCTGAATATATTCGGTTTACAAGTTGTCCGATAAGTGGGGGTACGTAGCACCGTCTATAGCTAAGCGGGAATTATAATAAGTCACACTGGGTTCGTTCATATTGGCTGAACCATCCAAGTATACAAGCAGACGATAACAAATACAAGACGCACTTATGGTAAAGTTCGGTACCGCTGCATTCTCCACACTTAGTGCACTTGTACTTTATATGATGCACCTTTTGAAAATGCATATCCATTTCGTCTGGTGTAGGAAATGAAGAAATTTTACATTCTTCACATGTGAAAGGAAAATTTCTATAAAAAAAGCAATTTAGAAGCCTCATCTTTTAATTCAATTACTAATCCTTATGATACAATACTAACACTATACACTGTCAAGTGAACCCTAGTAAATCGAAGATAATATCTTACTTTACGAACGAGGGAATCAGTGGGATTAGAAGGCGAGAATCTCTTGATGGCAAATCCATTGCTTCTGCCATATAAACCAGCACTGGTACCACTTTCTTACAAGAGTGATTCTCCTAAGAAACCTTTCTACCTTTCTATTTCGACAAAAATACGAACTAGAAAAATTGCATCACTGTACCCAATGAACTATTAATAGGCAGTGAAACACACCATGACTGTTGCAAAAAAGTTCCACGCCTTGGGAAGACGATCTTGAATAAAATTCATTCGAATAGGTAACCATAAGCCACAATCAGTACACACCATAAAAAGATAAGCTCTTTTCATTTCGACCTGAAACCATTTATACGAACGAAAATAGAGAAATTGTAGAAAATTTCGCAAACAGATATTTTTGTATAGACATGGTATAGATATACAACAGTTATCTTAATGACTGGGTCAGTCATCATGCAATAAAATAACCTGGAGCACGAGAGAATTTATTCAGTTATACAACAAGTTTCAATGTATACCTTCACAACAAATTTAACCAACCTTACAAAGCTGCTTTCCTCCGTCCCTTACCGTTTCACTCAATAACATTCTCCCCCATCGTGTGCAATCAGAATGCCCCAAAAGAGCCTCCATCGTGTTATACAATACACCACAAAAGTGACATCCATAGAAAATAGCGGTGTAATGTCCAGCAAGTAAATGTGACTAAAAGGAAAACTGAAGTTTGTGAACTTATGCTGACAAACTGTATATGTGTTTCATAACGAAAACCTCGCCTCTCTAAATTATGAATTAAGGTGCTTAGCATTAACGCGCTCGCGAGAAAGAATGCAGAAACAATTACGCTGGTCGATAAACCGCGATAGATCTAGAGTGCGAAAAAAGGAATAAGGATCGATAGTGAAAAGTATTAGCATTACCGTTTCTGGAATACTTATGGTGCACACTAGCCGTCGGCCAATCAGACAAAACTTAAGCGGCTTCGCCCGGAGATGTGGAAGTAGGCGTTTGCAGATGGACGCAAAAACGATAACCATAACCAAAAAAGGGTTCTTGCTTGCTACAAGAAGCTACTTTTAATTTGGACGACTATCATTGGAAGTATTCTTATACTCACGTCAAATGGAGAGTTAAAATAATCTGGCAACAAGAAGCAAAGATGCTTAACAAACAGTTTTAGAAGTCGAGATGGGAGAGTAGTAAGGGATATAAAGTAGTGAAGAATATGATAAACAGTACGAATGGCGACAGCACCCAAGGCTTGACGATGGCAAACTTGCCAACATCCTAATCTTCAAGACCCTGTGTACATGTTGACGCTGAATGTGGTGAATCCCTCCAGACAGAAAAAGGAAGAAATTAGAAAAGCAGAACTGTTCCAGAAGTCAAAAAGAACAGACATCGCAACTACAAGAACACTAATGTGAACCAATGAAACATACACGATGCAAATCCATGTATAGCTTAGCACGAACTGTAAGTGCCTCAGCTACTCAACCCCGTGTTCACGGTAAAAAAAAATCTGACATCCACTTGCAAATCATCACTTTAGAAACCAAATATGAAGCACTTCTCATTTCTCTGGTTAACAACCGAATTTAAACCTGGCACGTTTCAAAGATGTAAGGAGAAATTAATAGCTCTCATTGAACATATTCGATGATCCATAAGATTCTAGGTGAAATTCATACTAAGACAATTAGATGACAAGTTTTCAGACACCGCGCGGGTTTCAGGATTTCGTCCAATTTTTTTGTCTCCAAATCGTCTTCCAGTGAGGTAGTCGGGTATGTGCTTTGGCGGTAACCTCAAAATCTGTTAAATTCTCTTCTAATTGATATCTTGAAAATAGGATCTGTTAACTGATCTCCTAATTGACAGAATCAATCTTAGTCGATCGTGGTGTATCACGGGTAATTCCAAATTGCCATGTTTGAGCAGGCACGAGTATTCAAGCTATGCTTGTAGACACCCAAGAACTCAACACGGACGACCAGACCAGGCCAGGCACCCAAGCATAAGCGACAAGTAATCCTTGTGGACTGTAAGTAGGCTTGCTGCCTCGCGACTCGGATTTTTGCAAGTCGACAGTAGTTCCTGTGACGGAGCTGACCCCTCGATTAATTGACCGGCTACTGCAGAACGATACAACAGTACAAATTATTGTAGTGATACAGGTAACAAGTTGACACGGATCAAAAGATCAAGATGCAGAATAATATGGATGTACCTGTACATCAACAAAAGATTGCCATGTCTCTTGGATGGTACAACACGAACTCCGAACTGGTCGCAATTTTTTGCTTGACTCCAATAAATGTGTTTTTATTGACACATCACCTGAAGGTGATAAACTCTCTTCGATGTCCATACCAAATGGAAACTCCCGTAATGGCATCGTTTCGCTATGGACACTGATATCATTCTCTTCTGAAAACCAATGAATCAGAGTCAGACGTGTAGAGCAAATCTTTATATTGCCAATGTACCTTCTTTCACTGTTGTCACTTCATTAGATACATTCTTTTCCAAGGCAAGTTTACGCGCAGCATTTTCCCATGCTAGTCGCTTTGACAATGGCAGCATATTCCACTGAAATATTTTAACTATATACATGGACACAAAATAGAGAAATAAACTAAGTGATAACATGTTTATATCGTACAACTTTCACACTCCCTACTTACTACTAACAAAAGAAACCAAAACAAGTAATACACTACTACGGGCAAGTATGAGTGATCAAGCGGAGAAAGCACATAGAGTTCCTTATAACACCAGAACAAAACAATCTTTTCAAAGAAAGCTCGTAATTACTCAGGTACTGTTCCTTTGAATTCTTCATTATCGTTTGGTAAGATGAAATAAAGAAGATATTATTGACCTATCCGTAACAAATATACAAGAACGTACAACTAAAGTTAATTCGAAAAATTACTGAAGGGAAAGCCAGAACTCACAACATGTCGTAGCACCTGTGCGAGCTGAAGAACATCCTCAACGTTATTGTTCACGAAATACTTATCCGTAGTCAAGTGACTAAAATTTTTTCGAGTTAAAAGGTAAACATCATCTGTACTAAAAAAAAAACAATTTAAAATTCAAATTGCCGCTCACAATAAGGAAACCATCATATCATCGGTGACGCAGCTAGTCATCAAGCGAAAACCAGCGCCTGCGTTTAGTAGTGCATCCAGGCCGTCAACACGCACCACATACAACCTCTGCACCGGATCAGGAATCGTCGGTGGTAGTGTAGGCAAGTGTTCCTCATATAGCGACACTTCTTCCTGAAAAACAGAAGCCGCTAATATTCCGTGAAAATAATAGTAGCCTAAGCAACGTGATAATGAGATTCTTCACAAATAATCTCACTTGTACAATGTGTCGAAATTCTCCTTCACCAGAAATGAGTGGCGCCTTTACATTATGTATGTGACTTCCCACAGCAGAATCAGTGAGAACAGAGTCCTCTCGTTTTCTACCTGACCCACGAGGACGTCCTCGACCACGACCACGACCACGACCACGACCACGCCCGCGCCCACGGCCATTCTTCAAGAGAAAATATAAAATTGCCATGATGCATATACACGGTTACTGTTATTTCAAGGAAATGATCAGAATATCACGGCGGACAGACTCACATTTTCCAACGAATCTCTGTCCTTCAACATTTCCTCTTCAAACAACGCCGTTTGGTTATATGTTCTGATACTCTACAATAAATAAAAATAGGTAAACTAAAAAAATCAAATAAACTACTATTCTACCGAAGAAATTTGGTGAATAAGTCCATAAACGGAAGAAAACCAATAATTCATTTGTAGTGGTGTAGTATCAAAGGTGAAATCGTAGAAAAACAGCTTGGGGTATGAAAAGCAAATCTGTCACAAACACGATGTTTAATCTAACCGTTCTGAATGAAACCGAAATTCTTTGCACTCTCAACTTTTAGTTTCGAATTCTAGACTCAGCCTTCATGTGAGCAAATGAATGTGGAAAACCACAGATGATTGTCAAATCCACGTGTAACGCCCGATATAGGTTAATTTTTACGCATTTGATGCGAAGATGATGGTCTCTTTCAAGTCCGAACTAACACATTTCAGCTCGGAAGCTTCAGTGACTGAAAAGCCGAATTTGCATACTTTCAGCAACCAATTACAAACGTTCTACATCTGCTGGATGCAATTCTGACTTTCCAAAACCCACAAAACATGTTTTTCCCATTCGTTCCATTGACACCAGTATTACAAATACAAAACCAATGAAACGAATGAGATTTCGTCCAATGAGACGCTATGGTATTCAACAAGGCATCATCTGCGCTTGCGACTGCAGTATGCGTTGCAAATTTTAAAAAACCAAACTGTACCTCAGTTTTTTGAAAACTTCTGTTCAATGAAAATTTAAAATTGAAATATGCTTTATAAAAATCGTGTGCACTCTTAAGATGTAAAAGTGAAGCCTCTTCTCAGTCTATGAAGTTTTCAGCTTCCCAGCTACTCACAGAAATATAAAAGTAGTATAAAAAGCCGGCATCAGGAGTTCTATGTTAGAACCTCAATCCAACAAAAAAAAAGACTAAATGAAGCGAATGTGATGGACCTTCCGCCGCCTGTGACTTGTACGTCGAGTTGGTTCAAATTCTGGATCGTTTGGATCCTCTTCTGGTACTTGATGCACCTCCTCTTCATCCCCTATGTCATCAGTGAATTCACCAGCACCTTCCGGGTTGACACGACCTCTCGTAACTCGACTGTCTATCTTCTGAGGGATCTAGACAAGAAAATTTTAAAATCTGTAATTCTACACCTTCGTACCCTTACTTTCACTTCAACTGGATGTTTCCTTGGCCTTCCTCTACGTCGCTTTTGTGGCTTTTCTTTTTCATCAGCTCCCGAATTAGCAACTTCGCGTGGTCCCATCTCACTCACTTGTTGACGTGTGTGCTCCTGTAAAGTAGACTTCATGTGAAGACAACATTATAAAAACTCATTTGTCAATAAGAAGCACTTGAACACCATGTGATAAGAAATTGGTGATACTCATCCTCATTTCTCTGCTTCATTTACCATTCTCTACATCGCAAAAGATTTCACTCATAGTTACATTGGTGTACTTGACACCTCAGGAAGACAAATTAGGATAGAGTAGAGCTCAATCCTTCTGTCTAAATGTGAAAAACCTTTTCATCATTATCCTCCAAGTGGATGGGGATGCCACACAAGGTAACGGATAGAGGTAGCTTGCAATACACAAGTGGATGCTAGTTCGATTCTACGCCTCTGCTCACCACACCTTCCAACGCTCCGGACTAGCAAACTGGTACACGGCTTGTCTGGATATGGCAGCATTGACTTGATACGTTGGTATGCCACCGCGACCCATTATATAGGTCAGCTCAACTCTAACGATGCTTTTAAAGTCGACTCACTGCGCATCACCTAGGGATTGACGAATGCCGAAAGCCATCTCTTTTTACTCTCCAATTCTGAAACTGAGAATTTTGCAAATAAGGTGCGGTTCAACTATATTTCGGTAGGCATTTCTCGATTTAAAACGATTCATTGGCACCGATTTAAAATCTACTTGATTTTATCAACAGTGGCACTTCAATGAGTCAAACATTACTCAAACGTTTCCGAAAATAAAAGCGAGTTCCAACTCCAAACAACTATTCTTGAGCTCACAATGAAGCTTGTTAGTTGAAAGAATAGTTTTTAGGCTGTAAAGATGGCTGGCAGTAAGAAACAAATCTCCCTACTTCATAACGATACTTACTGGCCCGTTCCCACTGGCTATGCGGGCCCAGGTATGTTCTCCATTTTATTCGGAGATTTGTTGGTCAAGCCACTGTGGTTCCCTGGAGTCAGCCTCGCCAAAGTCTGCCCCAGGGACTTCACCACCAAAGGCAGTCGCAGCCCTTGTGGATCAGGAGATTTACCACCATGCGAGCTTGATACCAGGACGGTGGTGGATCCTGATATTGGTTTACTCTTAGTTAGGCTTCCTGATGGAATCGCCGGACTCCTTCTCAGCTTGGGAGACTCTTCCATGGGATGAATCCCCGCTGTACATCGCAGTCCGACACCCAGGAACACCTCACGGCCACGATGAGGCAGAAAACCGTTAGGAAGATTCTATGGTGATAATAACTGTGATTTTCTTGACCTCGTCTTTTCTGCGCCTTCGACCGTAGGATTTATATCCAGAAAATCGAAGCAATTGAACATGCAAATATCCTTTGTCAAGGTAGATGGTGCTCCCGCCACATTGTTAATGCGGAAAGCTGGCTCGCTGCGTTCAAATATTTGAAAATTAAAATGACGCTTCCATCTTTTCTGAACATCTGATTCTTAAGCAAACTTAAAATTGTAGGGTTTTAAAACGAACTAAATTCATTACAGAAATACGGCAAAGCCTTTTCTATAGTCATGTCATGTTCTCAAACTCCTTGTGTACAACATTCACCTAAAAGTATGCGGCAAATGACGAAAATTAGGCGCAGTCATCAATCTACTAAAATATCTATTGTGATTCTGCAAATTCTCCCAACGGTTTACCGCTTCATCGTGGCTGGAAGGTGTTCCTGGATATCGGACTGTGATGTACAGCGGTGGGATTCGTCCCCCCGCCAGGGTCTCCCAAACTGAGGAGTCTGGAGTTTCCATCAGGAAGCCTAGCTACGAGTAAACCAATACCAGGTATCCACCATCGTCTTGGTATCAACGTCGCATGGTGGCAAATCTCTCTCTGATCCACAACGGCTGCGACCGCCTCCTGTGGTGGCGAAGACCTGGGGTAGACTTTGGCCAAGCTTACCTCGGGATTCTAGGGAACCACAATGGCTTAACCAGCAAACCTCCGAAAAAAGGAGATTATGCTGTAACCCGTACAACCAATGATGACGAGCAATTCAACTACCAAGTAAACAAGATTCTTCAAATAATTCTGATCCAACACTGCCCATCTAAACCGTGCTCTTTGTTCTCTTATTTGCAAAGACCAAATTTAACTTTAAGCAGACATAACTTCGAATTTACGTTTTTCTTCTCATTTGAAGTTTCAATGAATTAAATAAATTAAAACATATTACCCATTTCACATGACCCGAAATCCCACATAGAAAGAACCCAAACACTTCTTTGATTCGACTCGTTTCCTCGAATCTATCATCATCGAACGCCTTCAAAATCGCATACGGGTACGGTTGCTATTTGACGGTTTTGGTCAGCTTTATGAATGCCGCTATAATGCTAAGGGAGTTTATTCACCCTGGAGTACTGGGATAGTCCTCCTAGAGCACTATTACGTTAATTGAAAGGAATGAGCTGGTCCTGGATAAGTCTGGTTGCAACCTATCGAATGCACAGAGATGAAAGCCTTAGTGGGCCCGGTGCGGACTGTAATATGAGAACTTAGCTGAGAGTAAACCTAAAAAGGTGGCCGAGAGAGAGGCAAAGCGATGGCCCCAATCGTGGAGTGAGTATCTCGTGAGCCTCTGGAAAGTGTGATCGTGGGTTCGAATCGGGTTTGGGGTTCGAGTTTTGCAAATATCTCAGCAACGTTGTGGTTGCATTTACAAAAGTACAAACCTTCGTATTAGTGCAGCACAAACAAGTAAAACTCACTTAGCATGTTTGCAACGCAACAGGGACGAATAGACGTTTTACTGGCACACTCCCGATTTATTTCATGATCAAGAGGATTACACTAACACAGGGAAAACGTATACATGTACACCGACACTCATATACATAGGCGTAAAGCGTAGTGGTTAGAGACGCTTTCTAACATACAAACAACCGTTTGTTCCATACCAAGCCACGAATAATCCAAGCCAGCTGTCCTTCCGAAGTGGTCAAAATGGTACCACAACAGCTTATGAGGATAAAAACACTGATTCAATACATTCTTAGTTCACCGCGCACCACTGTTTAAACCAAGTATGCACGACTAAGAGAGTCACACAGGGCCAACTATTCTACCACATTAAACATATTTCATGTCTTTTCTTATTTTACATGACTCATTACCACACATACCACACGTTGCGGCACGAAGGCCTTCTAACTTTTCGGCTACGGGTTCGGCTGCTATTTGAAGAGTTTCTTCGTCTTCGCCATGCATGTCGTCTAATTGTAGTCGAATCGATTCTCCCTGGAGTCCGCCTATTGCGCTCCCACCTGGATTGAAGCGACAGAGCTGTTACCGGTCAAGACTAGCAGCAATTTTCCAACCCCGAAAGTATGAGAGGCTTGGTGAACCCCATTCGGGATCGAACCAGCACTGTGCCTGTGATGAACGGAATCACCACCACTGCTCTACCGGCCTACTATACATACACATATGTGTGTGCATATATACGTACAACTTAAAAGATATATATATACATGTGTATATGTATATACATATATACGCCAGTTCATATGTACATAGACACGTGTATGTATATGCGTACATATACGTATATATATGTATTTGTGCATGTATATATGTATAATACCCAATGTTCATTCTCCAAATATTTTGCTAACTTAGATACAAAGTTACACCACTAGGATTCCAAACATTTAAACGCCTTTGGAAATCTTTAAGTATGAAAAAGAACCCACTTTAGAGTCGAATCCGTCTGCACCCCATTCCGTACAAGGAGTTGCTGATGTGCCCATGAGTAAATACTGATAGCACTTTTATATTCTGCATAAAAACTCACTAATTACCACTGAGTAGTTAAACTCCATTCAAAAATAAACGATATGATACACGTCGCAAGAAATCTCCAGTGGATTTTCACATGAACTTGAAAATCAGTAAACAGTGAAATTATGCGGAAGACTAGGCAAATAGTAGTGAAGGATAGCTCAGAGTGCATACAACAAATCGTACAATACGGCTATTCTATTTACTCTGACAAGCAACGCTAGTCAGAATACCGTAATCTCAATCGTTTCAGGATCCACTAGGGTCAGCAAAGGTTGAGATTCACATGGAGAAATTCTCTGGTTTCCAGGACTAAGCCTATAGGCATATGCGCCTAAAAAAAAGACAAAAATGGAGCTATAACCTAACAAAACAAAAACGTGGAGCGGAACACACCACCATGAAAAAGAGGTGCAGAACAGGCACAGAGCGGGACAGAACGGTGCGTGCGCGCGCGGTCGCGACGCGGTCACCGCGGGCGCCCTCCTTGGCCACGCCCACAAATCGAAGGCCCGTGGTACCAGCGCGTATCGATCGATCTGATTGACACCTCTGATTTACACAGTGATCTTAAATAACGCACTTTCTAAAATTCCAGAAATAACAGTGTCACGTAAATAAAGCTGCTTCCACATTAAGATATACAATGATTAGTTTTTACGTAACATTGCAACGACTTTCCTATTCGTTCGTTGAAATGTGGCTGCACGCCGTAAGGCGAACTCACAAAACACTACGTTGTCGTAGAGGACGCAGACCACATAGACATCATAGATGCAGGCCAGAAATATCGTCGGCTCTCAGCACCGGCCTGCGAGCGAGACGCGCGTCAGGGACTTGCGAATTTCCTTTTTCCCTGACAACCTAGTGATAACGGTGTACTGGTTCTTTGCAGGATTATGATGTTTTATCTAGATGAGAGCTGTGCACAAAATGGGTGGGTGGGCGTAAAAAAGTGCTGTAGGTAAACTGTCTCTCCTTAACCGTCCCTACGATATCTATGATAGTCCGCAATGCACAGATTTCTGTTCCCAGCATTAGTATGTGTAGAACTCAAGACCAGCAAAATTAAACTCGTAATTCAGTATTCTATACATTGATGAATTATGGAACTGAATTTGACAGTCAGTACCTTCTTGGATTGTTAAGCTAACATGAGGTTGACATAGATTTTCGTTTGGCTAATGTCTCTTCGTTTTCGTCTTCATCAGAGCCGATGATCCGCCGAGTCGATGGCCACAGTCGTACGTTTTCCTGAGTTGATGCCTTCGCCGTCGTACCGAATCCTATCTTCAGTGGAGCACCGCTCGAAGACGAACTGTGGACCATTGACTGGAATCATCAGCTCTTGTAAAGTTGAGACTGTCGAAGCATTAGCCGAATAAACATCCAAATCAACCTCGTATTAGCTTAACAATTCAATATTGTAAAGGTTAATACTACCGAGGTTAAATGACGGTAGGGTTGAAAAATATTGAATTGATAGTGTTACCTATGACGGCTGAGCTCCACCCTCACACTATTGGATACCGTCGACTATCCTTGGAACTTACTATCGACCAGTGGTTGTACATTAACTGTAATACTGACGAAATGTTTTAGATATCCTCAGTCTTCTTTTAGCTCGCCCACAACAACGTGGGCATACCAGTATGTGCTCCAAACTGTAATATATAACAACACTTTGCAGCTGTTCAGAGAAAGAGATTCAGAATCATTGTTAGAAAATTCTGAATCCATTTCTCTGATAAGAAGAGAACGACACCGTTAAGTAAAAAGCTGACTAAGAGAATGGCAATGCAAGGGGTGCAGTGGGGGACGTGAGCCACCGCAAAGGGTAATCGCGGGTTCGAATCTGAACTGCGGACCAAGTTTTGCGAGTATCTCAGCATCACAGTGGATTAAGAATGGATGTTTAGCGGTTTCTACACTAGGCTTCGGCATGCTGACTATAAATGGACAAAAAAAACGTGTCCCGTTTTGTTACCGACTTTAATACACTCATACTTTCCACTCCCATACAAAACGCAGACTGCAGAAGAAACCACAATTTTGCAATTTTAAAAATAAATATTAGGCAACCGGAGACAATTATTTATAAATTGTGGCGGACTTTTATTATGGCAACAAACCACTAAAACTTCAGAAATAATGAGGCGCCATATGATCAACATTACTTCTAATGATGGATGACGTGCGTCCAACACTAAGAAAATGTCCCTACAACAAAAATTTCAAGGTAGTTAAAATCCGGGAAACAACTGTGTACAGGATTAACGACGGGTGACTGGAGTATACAATAACTGGCTGCATCCAAAAGCGCAGGTATGTTCGTTAGTTGCCAACCATTGCATTCATTTTCTGATTACTGTGACTATCACTCGCTTCATCCTCGTTTTGCAATACTTTCATCAATACTTGGTTATTCTACAGTTGAAGTGCAACGAATATTTTTCCTACATATTTGCGGCATCGTTATTTATCGCTTAATGTATGTATTGAACACAACACACACCGTCAGTTGCTGTACTTCACCCAGAAACAAGACATGAAATATTTTACTGACTAGCAGTGATATTCATGACGGAATGCATAAACTCTAACCAGAAAAACTTTCTTGTAGACTATAGCCTCGGATTACGTAAGGAGACTAAGCCTCCGAAATGTTATATTTCAGAAATTTGATCTACGCGAACACCACCATATTCTCAACACTTATCGTGCAGCGTACATGATAGCTGATGTTCGCTCGATGTTGAAAAATCGATAATGCGGACAATGAGCAGGTTGATGAGTTCACACCGTTCGCTAAAGTGTCCGTAATCAACGAAATTTAAAAATACTGGTATGGGTTGCCCAACACGAGTAATACAGAAATCTAAAGACGTAAAATTTAAAATTGGAAGAGTGGAACCCAGAGCGCGCACGTGAGACGTTGTGAGAACCGCGCCGCATCCGCAACGCAATCGGTCCGCGCGGCAGGGGATGATTAGAGACGCAAAGGAAACCGCTTGGTTTACGAAGTGTTGCGGGAAAAGTATGGGAAGTCTTCTATTTTTCACAAATTCATGTAGTCCAGAGAGCTCTCAACTTGTGTTAAATGTTGTGTGTCCCTTAACTTGTGCAGAATTTCGTGCTAAACTTCGATTATTAATTAGTAACAGTTACGGAGGTGCGTGTGTTTGGCTGAGTGGATCGCATGCCAATTTGACCTTTCAAAGCTCTGGCGAAGGTGAAACTGCCGAAACATCAGCTATTGTGTATTACTAAATGCTCTAATAACAATTTCTTTTTTTGCTGATCAAGAAAACAGTGAATTATCGATCAATGCCAAGGTTGAAAGAAAGTCGGCATAGGGATTTGACCAACCACTTTCAGGTACAACTGAATCCAAAGGATAAAATTGCCGTTCCTGCTGTGTTGGACTGAGTTGGAACATCCTTGTATATAGGGCGATTTAAAAGTAGCTCCATATTTTTAAACACCTGTGTACAACTTATGAATCGTAATGCTCTCCACAATTTTTCGTATACGTTCCTTAGTATATGGTAATTAAATCCCTACTGCGATTTTTTTAGATCGATTATTTCATTTGGAATTTAGAACCCTTACGAATACAGCTGGACGTCCTAGCCTACGAGAACATGCTCAGCTAGCTGCACTTTAAGATGCTTGGAGAGCAGCAGTTGCTGTGAAAAGATGGTGGGGAACCATTAAAGGGGAACAAGCTCAAGTTGACGTAAATACGACCAAGAACTGACATACAAAACTTAAAGCCACGAGATCTATAAGTAACACCCGAAATAGCTGCCACCCTAACACTTCCAGTGACGCGGAGATAGCAGAAGTTGTTCAAGAAATTTTTGTGCATAACCCAAACAATCTCAACGGGACAAGCAGCAAAGGAAGGAAGGCTGATCTTTTTCTGCATTCAAATGGTGCACAATAAGCGTCTTAAAAGGCATGCTTAGAAGCTGCAATACGGTTATTCCCACCCTCCTGGGAGAGGTTAGCTTGTCACGGTCGGTGGGAGTGGCTAGCCGAAGCAATGGCTTAACCTTCTGCGACTTCCTTAGTTGGTGGTGGCCACAGGAGCAATTTTTCTCTAACAAACCAACGACTTTAGAAGAATGTGAACGGCGGAAAATCCATGGAGCCACCGTATACAGAATTAACGATGAAGGGATAAAGGATAGCTCTCGGCGTTGATCAATCCGTGAGGGCTGCGCCATGTATTCGACTTCGTTAAGTATCGTTGGAGGTGACTGAATGCATATCTAGCCTTTACAATGACTCGTGGTGGCCTACCGATGTATCGAGTCAGTGTTGCTATCCTCCTAGACTAGTCTGGTAATCTTCCAACTCCGTAGGGATGGAGGGTTTGGTGAGCCACGGGCGTGGGGATCGATTCCACGTGTATGTCGCAGTGGTGTCTCCAACCACTGAGCCACACGCGCCCTGGATTAACGATAGGTCACTGGAATACATAACAGGCTGGGTATAAAAGTGTAGGTTATTAGTTGCCAACCACTTCACTTATTTTCTGATTATTTTAACTATCACGCTTTATCCTCGTTCCGCACTATTTTCATGAATATTTGGTTAATCCACAGTTGAAGCACAACGAAACTTTTTCCTACATATTTGCGACATGAAGTTATTTGTCACTTAATGTATGTATTGAACTCAACGCGCATCGTCTGTTGTTCTACTTCACCTAAAAACCAGACACAAGGTATTATCCTGATTAACAACCGTCTTCATGAAGGAATAAACAAACTCGCATTGCAACACTTTCTTGTAGACTATTAAGTGTAGAACATAGCTTTTCTCGGATTACGTTATCTAATGAGTAAAAGAAATGTAGGAAGAAAAAACTGTGCCGAAATAATCGAAAAACCCTCCGGCATCCCTTCCTCAGCTACGCGTTGAAATCAACACGCATCGTTACGAATGCGATGGACCATGCTAAGGATATTGAGCTTCCGGAATGTTGTATTCAAGAAATTTAATCTACACGAAGACCACCATATTCTCAACACTTATCGTGCAGCGTACATGATAGCTGACGTTTGCTCGATGTTGAAAAATCGATAATGTGGACAATCAACGGGTTAATGAGCTCACATTTTACGCTAAAGCATCCGTCATCAACGAAATTTAAAAATACTGGTATGGGTTGCCCAACACGAGTAATACTGAAATCTAAAGATGTAAAATTTAAAATTGGAAAAGTGAAGTCCAGCGAGCGCACGTGAGACGATGTGAAAACCGCGTCGCATTCGCACCGCAACTAGTCCGCGCGGCAGAGGATGATTAGAGACGCAGACGAAACCGTTTGGTTCACAGCGTTGCGAGGACAGTACAGGTAGTCTTCTATTTTCCACAAATTCACGTGGTACAGAGGGCTCTCAACAAAGATTTTATGTTAAATATTGTTTGTGCCTTAACTTGTACAGAATGCCGTGCTAAACCTCGATTATTAATTATTACAGTTGCAGAGGTGCGTGTAGTGTAGTGGTTAGAAGTGACCTGCAATACACATGGGACCGACCCCGGTGAGGTTATCAAAGTGTTTGCCTGAGTGGATGGCATGTCAATTTGACCTTTCAAGGCTCTGGAGAAGGTGAAACCGCCGAAACAGCTATTGTGTATTACTAAATGCTCTAATAATAATTTCTTTTTTGCTGATCAAGAAAAACAGCGAATTATCTATCAATTCCGAGGTTGAAAGAAAGTTGGTCTTGGGATTTGAACAACCACTTTCAGGCACAACTGGATTCAAAGGATAAAATTACCGTCCTTGCTATGTCCGACTGCCTCAAAACTTTAGTGTATAGAAGAGGTTGATTTAAAAGTAGCTCCGTATCTTTAAACGCCTGTATTTTACTTATGCATCGTAATATTTTTCACAATTTTTTATTTATGTTCCTTATAGCATGGGAAGTAAATCCATATTGCAATTTTTTTAGATCGATTGTTTTATGTGAAATTTGGAACGCCAGTGAATACAGCTGGATGTTATAGCCTGCCAGAACATCTCCAGCTAGGTGCACTTTACGAAGTTTAGAGACCAGCTGCTAACGTAAAAAGTTGGTGGAGAACCATTGAAGGGAGATATAGTTAAGTTGACGCAAAGACGACCAAAAATTGTGATACAAAACTCATGGCCCCAAGACCAGCATGCGATACCCAAAATCGCGGTCGCCCATACAATTCCAGTGACCGAGAGGTAGTGCAAGTTCAAAGAATTTTTACCCATAGCCCAAAAAATTCCAATGGGGCAAGCAGCAAAGGAATAAAGGCTCAACGTACAAATTGTGTTTAAGAAGCGCCCCGAGAGGCCTGGTTAGAAGCCACAATACTATCATTCTCGCCTCCTAGGAGAGGTTGACCCATTGTGGTCCGCATGAGTAGCCAGCCAGAAGCGTTGACTTAACGTCCTACGACTTATTTCGTTGGGGTTGGTTATAGGAGCAAATCCAGTGTAACAAACCAACAACTTCGAAAGAACCTGAGGGATAGATGTGAGAATGTATGTCTGCCATCCTACCAGAGTTCTTGGTGGAATCTGTTGATGTGGTTTCTACGCAGTTTTAAAAGCTGATGACCAATACTGTCTCCCATACCGAATTTGAAATAGAACTCCATGCCATGAAACTTCCCTTCATATTCAACTCTTGAAAAAAAAAAGATCGATAGAACTAGCTGAGAGACGTGCAAAGCGAAGGACCCGGATGGTGTAGTGGTGAAGTGCGCTGCTCCCCGGTAAGGACAACAGCGCGTGTTCGTTCTCCATTGCATACACCTGTGGTCCGGTGTTTTGCAAATATCTCAGCATTTCATACGAGTTATATTTCGCAACATAACCTGCCATTAAGAAGAAAAAGGCAGTAAATGAAAAAATTATAGTTAAGAATTAAATTAAGGAATTTAAGATAGGCAGTTATTTATTAGTATCCTGTGTGTAATCGGAGCTATGTACGTGTGAATGGCTTGCGGGCAACCAAATAACAGTCAACTAGATGAGAGGAGGTTTGGGCTCGCCGTTGAGCTCGGAAGAATACAATCCTTCTTACGGCAGAGCTATTGGGTTTTCCGCTGTCATCCTTGCAATGGACCAATGGAAACCGCTGCTTCGCTGGAGTTTTGTTACTTACAAGATTACCAGTAAAGTATAATTTCTGCACAATTTGTTGCGAAAATCCTTGTGGTTTACCGTCTCGCCACGGCATGAGGTTTTACAAGTTGCCGAAATGCGACGTAAGGTGTATAATTCAAACTAAAATGTTTGATATTTTCATCCAAAACTCGTTTTAGGACGAGCTCATGGTAGTAATCGTCACAGTTCTGGAGTATACGTAACTGTGACGAGACAAAGACATATTCGTACGACTGTTGGCACTTGACGTCTACCCTCTCCATAAAAAGGCTTTATTTTTAATCACCGAGTAACCACAGTTCAGGCACATATATGAGGAGGGGTACATACGAATGTATGCCTCATCTGAGAATTAACAACTCTGTTACTTTCCTTGTAACTCTGTTGTAAGAAATATCACCACAAATGTACATGACAGAAAAGAGAAGAAAAGAAAAACACATTGCACACCCCTTTAAACATAAGTGCACGGTGGTGGACAACTATCACACTGGCATGTGGGAATTAAAGTACTATGCACAGACGATTTGTGGCAGATAGCAAGAAACAAAGAAAGAAGGAACAAGTGAATAAGTGCCGATTATTCCACACAAATCACAGATATAAATACACGGTATGACGAGAGAGATAGAAAAGTGGAAAAGAGATGTAAAGACCCACAGAGAGGAATGTTGGCACAAAAATGCCGCCGGTGACGCGCGAACTCGTCCGAGAAACTGGTAAGGATATGAATAGTATTCGGAAAGGGAATGATCTCATCGAAACATCCACAGAGCATAATACACACACAATAACACAATACACATTAACACAATAACACTATCAAACAAAAAAAGCCAACAAAACAATAGACTTATGTCACATTTGACGAAAAAGAATGCAATCACCCTAAAGGAAAAGAAAAAAGCGATTCGATAACACACTGACTGCTAAGCGTAAAGCTTCTAAGAAAGCATATAGCGCTTGATAAGCATATGACCATAACATCCAACTAAACTGTGAAACTCTGCGGAATGTGCTATGCAATGAAGGATGACACTAGTTAGAAGCGCAAAAACATCACTGGAGTTTCACATTGAACGAATACGGAGATGGAAATATGAACCACTATAGCTACAGTAACGACAAGACAATCGTGACACTAAACTCAAACTCAACTTCTCCTTATAAGCACTGAACTACGGTAGAATTACTCCGTATTGATTGGCCTTCTCCACATCGTAAATTTTAAATTTCCAATGCTGGTAAATATTTCTGGTGTCACATGGTGTCATTTGTAACTTTGCACCATCTTTCGTCATCTCCAGACACCTTTGAGATACGACATGTAATAGTCGACCCGTCTAAACAAATATCATTAAATAACAATGGACTAAAACTTAAACGTTGACAGAGGTAATCCGCTACATCGAGTCTTCACCAATTGGCATACAACGCTCGATTGTGATTTTTTGACGATCGTCGATAATTTTTCGATAACAAGACTATTTGGGAAGCTGAGAAATTTACAGAGTTACAGAACACACGTTGTCCTTCCGCTGTACTGGAACAGATAAGAATTCCTTATTTTGACTTCAAATGTTTAAACTCCTAATTCACAAAGAAAATCGGTAAAGAAATGTTTATTTCTAATCCTTCACACAACCACTGTAGCAGAAAGCATGGACGAGATATTGGTGGAAACCATCGTGGACTGTTCAATGAAAACCGACTTTTAATTGACTTCACCGTTTTAGATAAGAACTATGTTATGAGCACAACGACGCTGAGATATCTGCAAAACTCCCGACCGCAGGTGTCTGCGGTGGGGAACGAACGTGGTATGACCCTTTCCGGGAGCTCACGCGTTCACCACCACACCACGCGGGTCCTTCGTTTCGCCTGTCTTTCAGCTACGTTATAAGCTAGGATATGCCTCTTTAAATCTAGAAGGTGTGTCTCTTCCGATACCACAACATTAAAATAGGTGCGCAGTGGCCGTCATGCATCAAGCACTAAATGTGGCATATTACGGAGACTACTATTTGCGTTGAATCTATGACATATTCCTTAAGGATTGATCCACACTGAAAACTTTTCCTTCTACCCTTTATTCTCTGTCTCACAGAGATTTCCACTTCCTGTTTTCTCATTAATCACACATTTCTCATGTCATCTGTATATAGTTTCATGTGCACAGATGTGAGCTATTATGTCAACGTCAGCATTGTGTAACCACTCCATTTCTAACTCTTGCCTTACACCTACCACCTGTGCCACCCGCACTCCCGCTGACTGTTGAATGACTCGACCTGGTGCAAATAAATTCGTTGTTTGTACCTGTCATGTGAAAAGGTAGTCCAATAAATTCTACTCACTCTAAGAACTAGCTGAGAATCACAACTTTTTTCTAAGTTTTTCGTTAAATCTCTAATCATCGGGCCGGTGGTCTTTCAGCTGTGCGTTTGACGTTCCGACGAAGCCAGTCGCTAACGAATCTTGCCCATCGGTTGTCGTTCAGAGAATGTTTCCGTGTAAAACGACGTCTACGATTCTCGATCGACGACGTAGGTGGAAATTCCAGGCTCTCTCGCTCGAGAATGTTGAGTGCTCATTCACCTTGCCTAAATGGCAGAGAAATTTCCGCTGATTACGCGAGGAATCGTGGAGTCGATTCGCCTTGCATCCATACCGTGCTACATTCGTTTAATAATACCTCATATTAACCTCATGGACAGTTCGCACCTCCAAATAAGCATGGTCATTTCGCTCGCTTAAATAGTGTTCCCAGCATCCCCATCTCCATTCCGCTGCTTTATTTCATGAAGTAGACTTTGAATTTTCAGCTCTGCACTCACATAATCATTATTTGTACAATTTCTAATTAGCGATTCACAACACTTCGTGAAACAATTGTTGTAGTACCATCTACGTTATTGCTAGTGCGGCTCCTTACATACGTTGATTGTGTTAACTGATAACGTTACTACGTCTTGTTTGAATTTCATATGCTGTTGTCTATATTTCGTTATTCTTTATACCGAGTTAACACTGTTTATATAAGGGCTTAACTAATCAACTTACCTTGCAACACTTACCAAACTAGTCGTTCGAACTGCGGCAGCTACGGGAGTGTGGCGTGATAGGGCAAAGGAACAGAAGCTTACACTACAAGAACTACCCGATACATTCGGGGTACAGCGTTGCATCATTCGTAGATAGAACTTCTTCGAAGTACTTGTCATATACACCGAGTTTGGTGTATGTAATTGATTCACAAACGAATGGTGATCATACTAAGGACATAGATCACATCTTGGAGTGCGCAGCACATGGACTTTAATGGAGTAGAGTGGACAACTGAAGTAGCGTCACCCAGCATTGCCCTCTATTACAGGATTCTAGTTGCGCCGAGTAACCTGACCTCACCAGGCAAATCTCCAGAACACATGAAGGTCGTTAGTCGATGCGACGGCTACGAAGACCAACATCGCAATAAGAAACAACTGCTGTGGACACTCATCTCGAATCATCATGGCTCTGTTGAAGGGGAAACCCTTCAAATTCGACCCATAACAAGTATTTGTAGAGACCTCGTACGAGCTTATCGATAAGGTACAACATTAATTAACCTTCCCAAGGTTGAGATTATTGTTCTGCCACGTGCCAGTTAATATTAATCCGAGTGCCGCATGCTGGATTATCGGATTAAAAACGTTTTGGTTGGCAGTCGATCAAGGACCGCCTGCCTCCTTGGGAACCGCCTCATGAGGTTGTGACTTTCACTGCGGCTAGGGACTCTTATAGAAGAGCAGTGCTGAAGAACGGTACTTCTTTCGCGCTGTGCTCCACTCTACTAGATTCAACTCAAAGCGACGATGACTACGAGGATTGGAATAGCAAGAAATAATTGCTGTTGGCACTCAGCTGCAATCAACGCGGCTCCAAAAAAATCGAAACCACTGATACATCCCATTAATAATGATTTGTATCAGGCCATCGAAGCTCATCAATAAAGCAAAGATAGTGGCCTATGGTTTGTCGTCTCGTTGTTTCTGGGTAGTGATGCTGAGTATCGAACTGCAATAGAAAGCGTCCCTTATCACACTCTCCAAAGACAAAACGAAATTCGACTATTTGAAACTGAGGCCTAGGTATGAGTAAACCAGTGCCATTGGTCAATACCATTTTAACAACAATTTAATTATTAGCGTGCGAGTGGTGAAGACCTGGGAAGGTCACACGGATTTCATCTAGAAAAAAAGTGCCGGTTAGTTAGGGTGCTAACGTGCTTCACTTCATCAGCGTGCCAGATAAGTCTTCTCTGGTAGCCACTGTTCGTAGTCACAAACATTGATAAGTAAACCGTTCTATAAAGAATATTAAAACAATGACAAACTCAACAAGATCAAGAAGTGTATACTTAATATAGGCAGTACTATGACCAATAAACAGAACCAACATAACTAAGGAGATATACTAGCAATAACATTAAGGATTTTACCGCGGATTTATGGCGAATTGTGAGGAAAGAAAACTATTATACAAGTACTGATGCGAAGATATTTGCAAAATTTGGGGCTCAGGCCAAATCGAGTCCGCGATTACCTTTTTCGGGGGCTCACGTATTACCCGCTGCGCCATTGAGGCCCTCGTCCTGCCTTTCTCTTAGCCCAACAGTTAACACTGTGATTTCAACTATGCCTTCAACTTAACTGAGTTCAATATCAATTTCTGCTCCCCAAATCGCTTCCGTTAACAGGCGACTGTGGATAGAAAACTAGTTGAGAGAAAGGCAAAACAACGGCTTCAGTGGTGCAATAGGTAACAAGAGAGCCACGGGAAAGGTTAATTGCGAGTTTGATCCGGCCTGGGTTACAAGTTTTGCAAATATCTTAGCCTCATTGTGGTTGTATTCCATACCATAGCCTGCAGTGAAAAATGGGGGTTAATAAAATATTGACATTATTATAGAACTATTGCTTATTCGAAGCGAAAATTCAACAATTGGAGTCTAGTTCATTCAACGGAGGAGCAGGAAGGAACAGTGTGGGTGAACACAATGTTATTCTTTTTGTTTGGAGTGACCGGAATAGTCCCAAGATCACTACGGAATATCTTCTCACTATGCCTGGCGGGTATAGCTAGTTGTCGATGCAGGTAAGTGTTGCAAGGTGATTATATAATAAATTAACTATGAAATCAAATACGTGAAACGATGTATAGCTAACATGAAAAATATACAATAACAGAATAAGATACATAGCATTCTCTATGTGGAAGAAAATAGTCTCCGTTAATATCACCAATCACCGGTGATTTCGCTGGCGTAGAGAAAAGCCACGAGCTTGTCCGCGATTTAAACACGGAAAATTCCGTTTTTTCCTTCAAGAACAAACGGTAAATTTCCGACAGAAATTAAAAAACAGCACATTTCTGGTTGAAAGTTGAAATTTGCACGTCCTAAATAAGGCCTACGAGAGACGGGTAGCACAGTGGTAGTGATGTCCGTCATCACGAGGACGCTGCCAGTTCAATTCCGCTCCGAGTCAACCAGGTCTCAACCCTCCGTGGTTGGGAGATTGCTACTGGACTTGTCTGGGAAAAAAATCAATCTCTGCAATCCAACTGGGAACGCTACAGGCCGGCTATCCCAGGGCTCTAGGGAGAACTGCTCGACCGGCATTCTACGACATTTAAGATGAAGTGAATATCCTCAAGCAGCAACCGAAACTACAAGTAAAGTTGGAAGATCTTCGTGAATAATGGATGCGATAGAATGAATCGATTGTGAGAAGTGCTGAGATCCGCACATTAGACGTGAAGACGGACGATATAAAACAAAAAAAATAAGGCCTACATGATGGCGGTTCCCTAATAACTCCAGATAATTTTCGGTAACTAAACGACTTATGAATTTTGTAACTTGATAGACTTCTAAAAGAGACTTTGCTCTATCATTCCAAAAAAAACTTTGCTAATCATTCTAAGTCTATTAAAAACTAAAAATTTCATCAAAGAAATCCCATTTTTACCGCGATCGAACGAAGAAATTTGCCTCTTTTTGGCAAAAAATTTCTGGATCCCGGTAGTTTTCACTTCTATTCACAAAGTTCATTGGAATGGAATACACTTCTTCAAATGGGTAACTGCGTTCGAGTATGTATGAAGTGGAATTAAAGACGAACCAATAGGCGCAAAAATTGAGTACGTCAATAAACCGGAAAGGTTTTCTATAATTTTTATCAGAGAAAACAGAACCCTTGCTTTATCAATGCCCAAAAATGTTCTGCAAGAAACAGAACAGTCTCTGAGTCTCCCTTGTGAGGTTATCACCAGCCTATACTTCCTTCACCACTTCATTCCTTTCGTTTCCCTTCGTTCTTCCTCATCAACCTCTACCTTGATACCATCGACCTTCCTACTTATACTGAATAATCTGTTTACCGTTTTGAATAAATGTTGATGGTCGAGAACATAATATTATGACATTGAGCCATGCCAACTGATGACGACTTCAACATTGGGCTCAATCTACTTCTCATCCAAAGTGATAATAAAGAAAGTGGATATTTTGAGGTTCCACACACGGAGCGGAGTGCTGGTGTGAACAAAGATGAATGGTAAACAGTTGGAAGCGAAACGGAATCGGTGCTGTGTGATGGTTTTGTAGTGGAAAGACAAGAAGAAAGACACTATTAGGCTATAAGCAGTCCACGTCACGTTTTTTTTCCTCCAGTTCATCGGAACCAGAAGTGATTGAAAACCACAACCAAATGAAACATTTCGTAGACAGAAATGATTACATGGCAGGATACTGACCATAGATTAGAACAGATAACGAGTGACGTATTTTTCTCTCTCTTCATGGTTGGTCACATTTTTTTTCATGAACACTTTAGGTACATACAGCCCTTCATCTACTGGACCACTGAGAGATACCTAGTTAAGGCATGCATGGCACCTAATGAGTGCGTCCAGAAAACGCCCTTAATGATTCCAATATAAGCGCCTACTTGTTTTATGATAAATGCGAGAGTATTTGGATACCATAGACTGCTTACTTCGTTGAAAAACATTAAAGAAAAAACCACATAATGTTTGAAAAAGTGGAGACGATGTATGAGATGTTCCAAGGTTGCTACTTAAGCAGCACAATCGGAAATATGCCGCAGCATGTGCTAGAAAGATTAGCGTTAGATGCTATCGCTGTAAGGAACATGACTGTTTAGAATGTTTCTATAGATGTAATGCAATGTGTACATAATTGCCACGATCTTCTATGTGATGATTATTTATTAAGTCAAAAATTTGACTACTTCCGGGTACGAATGAATGGTCCCTTAGTGAACTCTTTCTATTTCGATTGTAGGCAGGAATTGCAAGATGTTATTGCTATCATTGTTATCGTTACTAGTTACTATTGCTAGGCTATACAATTTAAAACACAAATGTATATCATTTATATGTATGGTGTAAATTATATTGTAAACCTCAAATTACGTGCTATAGAATAAATGTAAAAGAAAAAAGTGAAGAGGCTTAATGTTTTCCAAAGACAAACTGCATTGAATTCCATTGACGACAGCGTGCTAACTGAACACTGAGCCACTCTGAGAAAGTTTCCTCGACGATCTTATCATCATCCTATCCCAGCGAAAACTTTCCGTAAGAACCGAATTCCAGTGTCCCAACAAAGGCATTTCTGCCCCTCTTCACTCGCCATACTCTCTGTGCTGCACACTCTCTTCAGTCGCAATATGCTCTCGCCACAAAATAACCTCGTCCAAACGTTTTTTGGAACTTATTAAGTGTAGAGAGCAGCCGTTCATAATCCACTCCTGATCTTGGATCTACGCGTCAAACTTTATCCACAGAATATAAAAACTGCTGTGGAAACCCCTGTAAACCACAGAGGAGCCGCGACACCACATGGCGTAACCTGTTCGTGAATGTGTTAAAATTCAACTTAAGGAAATAATACCCAGTTACAGCTGAAATGGAACTGTTTCCGGAGCCTTAGTATTATTCGTGAGGTGAAACCGACCCACTAGAATATTCAAGTACAGATATTTATTCAGCTTATATTCGTAGAGATATTTATGTGAAGACCAGGATCTTATTGTACTGCAGTTGTTTAGAGAGTTCGCAAAATATTTCTTATCTTTACATGACCTATCAACACATACCTTGCGGATCCCACCACTGTTTGCAGTAGATTCGCATTCCTCGCATTCAGTGTCCACAAAGTCTTCGAACACTTCGCGTGTTGTTCCGATTGATGCTTGAAGATTTCGTCTTCTTTACGAATTTAGTAGAATGATGATCCAGTCAATCCCACTTGCAATCTTGGAGTTAGACGGGCTAAGGAACCTACACGTGGATTGAAGGAGAGCGTCGAGGAGAAGGCCGAACTAGTGCCTTTGCTTCCCGATAAACGGCACCGTACCTCTAACCATTGTGCTATTCCCTGCCCCACAAAATATTATACCATAACATTTCAGCAAACTGATTTTAAATTAACCTCGGCATGGAAAGTTATTTTGTTCCTACGCACTGTCCTTGGTGGGCCGACACGCCGCTGTAAGCGTATACTTCTGGTTTTCGACAGTTCACATTTACGCTACGCCACATCGTCTTCTTCAGAGTACTTTTCACTTTCTAAGGGGAGGATTGTAAAGTCTTCTGTAGACAAAGAACGAAAATGGCCCCAAGGAAAGCAAAGTTACTAAACCGTTAGACGTTGAGCATCAAAAACATATTTTAACAAACTGATGTTAGGTCATCATGGACAGTTCGAAAGAAGAAATATCTTATTTACTACATCAAAACTGTGTACCACTTATACTTCAAACAATTTCTCCCTCCACTTTTAAAAATAAAAATTTTTTGGTTTTTTTGGAAATTTTTTGAAACGAGTTTTTTTTTAGAAATGATGGGGCGGACAGCACAGTGGTAGTGATGTCCGTCATCACGAGCATGGTGCTAGTTCGATTCTGATCCGGGCCAACCAAGCCTCTCATCACTCCGTGGTCTGGAAATTGGTACCGGATCTGTCTGGGAAAAAAGTCACTCTCTGCAATCCAGTTGGGAACGCTCCAGCCCGGCTATCTCAGGACTTCAGGAAGAATTGTTCGACCAGCTTTCTATACCATTGAAGATGAAATGGAAATCCTCAAGTAGCAACGAAGCCACGCGTAAAGTTGGAAGATTTTTGTGGATGACAGATGCGTCGAAACGAATCGAATGTGAGAAGTGCTGGGATCTACCCAGTAGATGTGAAGACGGATCAAACAAAATAAAATAAAAAACAAGGTTTTTTCAAATGAAATAAATGAAAAAAATTTTAGAAATAAAGCGGATTAACTATTACGTAGACAATAACGAGAAATTTGGAGGAGATTATACCTGAGGATTGTATCGCCATTCCTGATTGCCCTTCATGCCATGGCAGGGAAACACCATCACATCTTGGCCGGCATAATCTATACATGACTCGTCACGACGTATTTCACCGTCTTTTGACATCATCCAATACTAAATGAATGAGCTATTTGACAAACAAAAATACAATTTGAAATATTACCACTTCCACTGAATCAACTGCTTCATCAAGCTAGAAAAAGTAAGTATCGCTTAAGAAGCCTAGTTAGCCGAAAAATTATCATAAATTTTTAGAGTTACTGATACGTTCCACTGACTTTTGATATCAGGTAGGAACCTTACCAAAATATCTAATGTCATTATGAAGATCTTTGACAAACAACTCAAAGCTGCTTCAAATTCAAACTATTAAACTAAGTTGTTCACTTCGCTGCACGTATGTGAGAAAACTGTGAAGTGGAAGGTGAACCAATCAAGATAGCTACTAATAACTCCTTTGAAGAAATTTGCGGCCAGAAATCCTGCTCAAGGATTTAGCCCAACATAGCACACAATAATAAATAAAACGCAGGCGAATAAATATTTTTATATCAACCTCGTGTGAGCCCAATAATCTAGAACAGTCGTAATTATTTGTGTACAGCTGTTTCACTTGGTTCTACATATCGTCAATGGGTCCCATCGCTATCGTTTTAACCGTATCTCATTCCTCGACATGTCTTTACCGCCGTAGACTACATTCTTTTATGGATGGATATGGATTTATGGATAACCTTTTGCTATACAACGTGGGTGCCTTAATTCCATGCTTGGGCCCTCTTTATGTGAATAACAACCTACACCAAAACGTTTCCTCTGAAAGTGCTAACAGCTTGGAATACCTACCTGTAGTGATAACTTAAGACCAAGGGATTGATTCCATAGAATCAACCAGAAACCTAACATAGAGTTCCTCGTACGGTCTTTGATTCGATCGTGCTCAGCTCAACCAAACCCCTGATCTTCGGAAAAGAATGACATGGCAATTAGCAAAAGTTCTAGGTTATAAAACAAATGTTCTTAATAACTGGTTTCAAAACATCAGTCAAAGCTTAAGACAATAAAAATTGAGGACTGCTTTCAAACATGCAGTGCGATAAATCACATCGATCAACACTAGCGTTTTGATGCCCAGCGGTTCCTAAAGATAGTTTTTTTAATTCATGTGGCGTCAACTATACATTTGCACCTGAATAATATGCCAAAGTCTTCTTGATGGTTTACTATCTTATATCCAGGAGATGTGTCTTAGTGTTGTATTTTTGTTGTGTTGTATTTACGTGATAAAAGATAAACGATAAAGCCTTTGGCTTTGTCCAGTCTCTGAGGGATGCCCCATGAATTAGACTTCATTAAGCATTGTGAAAGGTGATTGAATACATATCCAGCCTATACATAGAGTTTCGGAGGTACCGAAATATCGAGTTAGTGCTGCTGTCTCCGCAGACAAGTCTGATACCAATTTGCCAACCCCGAACAGATGGAAAGCTTAGTGAGGCGCGGGAATTGATCCCAAATGTATTGCAGGCGCCTCTGACAACTGTGTTACACGAGCCCTCATTTTAGGAGACACGTACGGGAAACGAATTCGTCTAAACAGTTGATTTCGCAAACCACTACTCGCCTGAAAAGTGTTTCATGCTAATTACTAAGTGTATAGAATATCACCGCTAGTCAGACCCTTGCTAGAATGAAGTGCTTTTGCTTAAGTACCGGATGAATACACAAAGTGCAGCAAAAAAACACATGGGATCGATCCTCGCACCTATGGCCCACCAAGTCTTCCATCCATCCGGAGTCGGCAAATTGCCTTTCTGTTCAATATGGTGTCTATTTGAAAGTTTGATCTTCATTAATACTTTAACCTTTCTTTTCCACCGAATAATAAAAATATTCTAATATAAAATACGTCCAGGCTCTGAGGAAGACGAAGTAGCCGAAACGTCAGCCATCGATCAATAACATCAAAAACAACGACGACAACAACGAAGACCTGTACCAACTTCGCGTCGGCTTAAGAAGATCAGTTTATAAGATCATATAAATAAAGATATCAACTATCTATGCCGAGGTTTATAGAAAGTCGGTTTTTCGAGTTCATATGCTCTACTTTGTCGGAACCAAAACTGAAGGAACAAAATTCTCAAAAGATTTCCCCGAAAAAATCATACCTGTAAATTCATTCATCCGATGACCTAAGTGATATTGCAACGGTCTCATAGAAAAAGAAAAGAATTTTTGATCGTAGAAAACACAGCACACGTTTTTCCTATCGATCATTTAAGAAATGACTCGGTGTTTTCGTCAGGATTACCAATGCTCGTTTCGTGACTGTAGATACAACTTACTGATAACAGGCACAATTTATGATTTACGAACTCTGAATCTCTTATTTGTTTTCTCACTCTCTAATATTGTGTTGGCCAGAACAATACCTACTGTTCTGAAAAAAAAAAACACGGTCGCTAAATGGCAAATTTCCCTCTGATCCCAAAGAATTGGCGACGCCTGAAAGCCAACCCAAGAGCGCCGTGGAATCGCTGCCTTGAAACTATAGGAGAGAAAAACCTGCTCAGTCATCAAAACACCGGTAAAATGGGAACCGTAGAGGATGCCATGCGATGCGTTGAAGTCCGCTGTAGTAAAAACATAGCAAAGCAGACCTGATTTCCTCCTTGCATATGACACTGATAAAGACCGAAGCTCTTTGTTCCATGTGAAGCATAGTCGATGCATTGCCGATTGCCGCCACCAGCATTTCGTAACTACATTTCAATTATTTTGTGTATTACCAAACGAAATACTTTAGGATAACAAAATTAATGGGAGAAGTAGATGCTCATACAGGAGTGAACAAAGAGAACGAGAGAAAGGAACAAAAAGATGAACAACTGAGGTGAAGTATGAACGAAGAAATGAGTGCGTTTGGAATCTATAAAGTACTATGAAGACACTGAAAAAGTAAAGTGCAATAACGTTATGTACCACTTATAAATATAACATTAACCACCATAAGAGAAACTCATTTGTTAGCGAGAAACGGTTCCTGTTAGTTACACAACATCTGACGCATGACTTCGATCTTAATCTTAGGCAGACAACCTTTTCTACTCTCCACCATATATGAGATAGATTGTTTTGCTCATATACAAAGTAAGCCTAAGCCGCAGAGAATATGACATCTCTCACGTTCAGCGAAGTGAAGGTACAGTTTTTGGTGTACAATATATCTTCAAGCTTTTTGATTCTTTAAAAACTATCGATTCAAAATTCGTCTTTCGAACAAGTGGCGCTACTTATACCTGACATGCCTTGCGGCAAATACATAATATAATCCTCTCAAGCGCTTCAATTGTGTTTGGTGTTTATTTCAAACCTGATTTCCACCCTGTCCATGGCAAGGATACGGTACAACAGTCTTTGACTCGTTTTCTTCAGTGGTAGCACTATCCACACAATAAGGTGCACCTTCATTTCGTAGCTGAAAGCCCCACTGGGTAGTGTGTGAGCAGAAAATACTGCGCCTACCTGGTTGCCGCCATTCCCATGACACTCGTACAGTCCCACCACCTTCTGCTTCTCATGCCGACTCAGTTTACAGTCTAGGCAACGATCCACACTATTGCCGAAGTTTCGAATCTCAACATAACCACGTCTTGCTAGACATACTGCTACCAACATTCTAACTACTTCTCTCAACCATTTTGTCATTACTTACTTTCGCAACAGAGTTCTCATAATCAAACATAGCAAGAGTAATTTTCGTCTTATAGCACGACGACATTATATTATTATTATTATTGTTATTAATGCCATTATTATCACTATTGCTATTATTGTCATTATTACTATCATTATTACTTTTATTCTTGTTTTTTGGGCGGATACGGCGAAGTAGTTAGTGATGCCGTCAATCAGGAAGCAAAGATGTTAGTTCAATCTTCGTCTCAATGCTTTTCAATCAACGTGTGAATGAGTTAACCTAGCTATCTCCAAGATTGCAAGGAGAAACTGCTCAACCAACATTCTAAAAGATTCGTAAAGAAGACGAATTTCACAACGAGCAGCCGAAACATCACGCGAAATAAGCGAAAAACATTTCGGATGTTGGATGCGAGGAAACGAACTGCATGCAAGAAATTCTTGGATCCGCACAGCAGATGTGATTACAGATAAATGCTAAAAATTCTCACTTATTGTTTTCATTTGTTATTATTATTTACATGAACCGTCATCAAAACTATTTTGCGCATCCCAATACTTCTTTGCTTCGATTCGTTTCCTCGTATTCATCGACCACGAAGTTCTCCAAACATTTCGCGTGTTTTTCGGGTGCTGCTTGAAGGTTTCCATGCTTTATGAATGTCGCAGAATCCTGGTCAAGTCGATTGTTTTTGCAATCATGGAGACTGCTCATTCGAGACATTTCCACATGAATTTGGAGCAAGTGTTTGGGAGTGGGTCGGATCAGTGCCTCGATTCCTAATGGTCTGCATCATTAACAACACCGCTACCCACCCTCCCTCTCTACCTCCCACTCAACATTATATATAGCATACACGAGGCTCGTATACAACTTCTATTCAGCTAACGTTCCGATGTCTTCGTCTTCCTCAGAGCCGACAATCCAAATAGATGTCCACAGTTCTTCGTACACTCGATGTGGGGTCTTCGCCGTCGTATCGACTCCGATTTTCTTCAGTGGAACACCGTCAGATGAGACAATCTCAACCGACGATGCCCTTTTATACGGGACGATTGTTGTTGCTATGATTGTACGGTAATAACTTGTTTTTTCTACACAACCCATCCTACAAAAGTCGACATCCATCATCATCTAGCAAAGAGCGTAATGATATTTCAAAAACTGATTTTCCTTATAGGTCGCTATACCACCGGACAATCACTGCAACAACAATCGCCCAGTATAAAGGAGCATCACCGGGCGAGACTACCTCATTTGAGCGGCATTCCAATGAAGAAGATCCAACTCGATGCGACAACGAAGACGCCACAGTGAGAGTACGGAGAACTGCAGGCATAGACTCGGAACATCGACTCCGAGGAAGACAAAGACGTCGAAACGAAACGGAATAAATGTTGTATAACAATCTCGTGTAAGCTCAAAGTTAAACACATATTGACTAGTTATACCGAGGTTAAAGGAAAGTACGTTTTTGAAATACTATATAGAGCATGTAAAAAATGCTGTAAAATACAGAAAACAGACATTTGTTCCATGGAAAACATGGAAGATCGCAGGATTCCTACTGGAGCTGCCACTAATGATATTCAGTTATACATCCATTTTTTACAACCCCAATGTTTAAGAAAGTGAAACAAAACCCAATGGATTATGTCATTTTTTGGAGATCAATTTTCTCCCAGACACTCGACGACCACGATCACATCGTTCCAACTGCTTCAAGATGAATCCCTGTCTAAAGTATACAGTAAATGTACAGAAGACCTCCACGAAATATGAAATATCACAATAATTTTTTTAAGTTTAGTCCAGTTTGAAAGAGAATGGAAGTGCCGATTGTATCACATTTAGTCTTGCCACTTTCAAAATCCATGTCTCTATTAGATCCTCAAATGGGGAATTGGGATAGCACAGTGGTAGTGACGCCCGTCATCACGAGCATGGTGCTAGTTCGATTTCGATCCAGGCAAACCAAGGCTCTCATCCCTCCAGTGTCAAGAAGTTGGTACCGGACTTATCTGGGAAAAAACCGCTCTCTGCAATCCAATTGAGAACGCTCTAGCTCAGCAATTTTAGAACTCCAAGAAAAACTGCTCGACCAGTATTCTACGACATTCAAGATGAAATGGAAATCCTCAAGCAACTACCGAAGCCACACGTAAAGCTGGAAGATCTTCCTAGACAATGGATTCGAGGGAACGAATTGAATGTGAAAAGTTCTGGGATCCGCATAGTAGGTGCAAAGACGGATCAAATAAAATAAGAGAAAAAAAAACTGCATCGTCTAGTCGTGAACAACAACGACAAAGTGGTTGAGAGTTTTTTTTTCTAACATTACACTTCCAAGCATAGGAATAATGCACATGCATTCCAGCAATGGAAGCCAAAACAACAGCTTTTTTGTGAACTGCCATAACGTAAAAAGCCTAGGCGAACCCAAAGGTAAAAAGAAAACTATACATTCTCCACTAAAAAGCATTAGAAGCAAAAAATTAGTGGTTTTACCAAATTCTAATGCACCACATAAATATCCACATTGAGTTAATAGCAGTACTAATTAACATTCTATTTATTTTACGCCCATTAGTTCATTGATTACCCACAACCAAATGTCATAAAAAGAACTGTCTTAACTGTGAACTACGCTTGTATTACGAGCATGGTCATAAGGTGGTAAATCCGTACCTATTAGTTGTGAAAAAAAAATCATTTGTATTTCCTTCCGGGATGAGTTCAAGAACTTTTTTGAATGTTTCGCTCAATCAATTTCAAACAACAAATGTAATAGTTAATAACCGTAATGATGCTGAGATAATTGCAAAACTCAGGATCGCAGGTGTCTGCACTGGGGAACCAATGCGCTATTACCCTTTCCGGGTGATAACGCGTTCCTCACCACACCAGACTGCAACCTCACCTTAAGTGGGTTCATTGCCGATTAGGGCTCCTCAGATCACTCCCGGTGACGGGTAGTTGCTGATCGCAGTGATCGATAGAACTAGCTAAGAAACAGGCGAAACGAAGGACCCGCATGTTGTGGTGGTGAATGCGTTAGCCCTCGGAAAGGGTGGGTAATAGCGCGTTCGTTTCCCACCGCAAATGCCTGCGGTGCGGAGTTTTGCAAATATCTCAGCTTCATTGTAGTCATATTTCACAGCATACCCTGAAGTCATTGTGGTTGTATTTGACATAATACCCTACCATGAAAAAGCGTAATGGGTAGCAAATAAAAAGTTAACACTGTAATCGTTAATAATTGTGTGTGACTGAGAGTTTGAGATAACTGGCTCATAACGTAGGCCAAATAGTTGTAATTGTAGAACTAATAAAAGTTCAAGCCCTCGCATGTTTGTGATTCTAAAAATGGCAGTTCATATACTCATACTGAATTTAATATTATAACACATATAAACACACTAAGACTTGGATTCACATTAACATTTAACATTTCTTTGCCATTACGTCCATATGATTCCAAAGCTACGGTATCACTACGGCTATGTTGAGTTGTTAATTGCCGAAATGAGTACGTGGCGATTCATCCCCGATCATGAATTGCTGAGCTGTGAAGACGTTGAGCGTTTCTGTGCGTGAAGCCAGCCAACGCTAAATCTATACCACGTTGATCTCGGTTAGCCAGCCGTGACCACGTTCTAACGAAATACAGCAATGAAGCACCCGACACAAAAACTGTGAGGCTTCCTTTGTCTCCGGAACATCCAAAGAAAACAAATCCTAACCGGAAAAATTCCTTCGTCTCGCAGAAGATACCTGAATGTTCTTCAAGAACGTTGATGAAGTAGAGACGATGTTAAAACACCAGGTTTTGTGATACGTAGTTGAACAGCAATGGATGGAATGTCGATTGTGGTGAAAACCTGCCGCAAATACCTCCAAGGTCCAATCGTCGTGTAGAATTCGAACGAAGCCAAAGACAGTAGAAAAAAACGGACCAGTAGGAACCATGTTTAAGTTCTAGTTACTTAATTAAGTGGGTGTTGTAAGCGAAACGAAAAAAAGCTGAGAACAGATCCTGGTAACATTATGGAGACTAGGATTGGTACGCCAATATGAATGTTAAAGCGATCGAATTAATTCTATACACGACATCGGACGGTAACCACAGGCACTGATAATTCAGCCTGTCATCACAAAAGAAAAACCTATTCCAAAAAAGAAAGACGCATAAAACTAAGCAAATTAGTGTTTTCATAAGGGTAAAAAGAAATCCAGAACAATGTCTATAAAGCCAACACACATCACATTGTACACGTCGTAGGATCGGAACTATGTGATCTTATACAACGAATTTTAAAGGTAGCGAATAATAATACAGTCTACCTGCCTACCAACCTAGTCGCATGGTGGTAAATCGCCCTTTGACTCATAAGCGCGGCGACTGCCTGTGATTGTGACGACCTGGGGCAGACTCGGGCTAGGCTAACTTCGGGACTCCAGTGAACTACAATGGCTAAGCCAGGAAGGCTCCGAAAAATTGAAATTATGCTGGGATAGCACAACCAGTGACGAAGGGCCACTCAAGTATACAAGTAATTAACACCGCATCTAGGATGGTTGAATTGGAGCACATTTTCGAAGGGTGATTGGCTACGATCTATTAAATATAATGGTACAAAAATATAAGGAAAATCGATATTTCTGTTGCTAAATTAAGAATTAAACTGAGACAAAAAAAAGCTGAGAGCAAAATAATCCACTTGAAATGATACTAAAAGAAGTTAACTAAATAATCGTCTAGTCGGCAACGCAACGGTGGGACTTTTTCCGAGTGCCATAATTGATTCAATATTTAAAGCCCACGCACGAAAACCCAGAAATGACGTCGGACAGCAACCAGATGCGCTTCTCATATCATCACAATAAAAATCAATTCCACAGGAAGAAAAACCATGCACGAATAGATCTACACACTAATATCAGAACATGAAAGAAGAAAAGAAAAAGTGAAAATCAATAATGGCGCAAAAATGGTGCCAAAAAGAAATCAATGCGGAGTGATAGATCATAAGGCTGAACGAAAGTTGCGGATAATGAATTTAATATGCTTCTATAGAAATGGTGAATGTTTCTACATATACACACATGTACAAGAAAAACTGGTGGAAAAAATTAAAGGCACTGACAAAAGACCTTCTTCATAATAGGCTTATTACTATTATTACTAGAATAATTTTTTTACTTACTGCATATTGCAATTTTTCATAGCAGGGTATTAGGTGTGGTCCAACAACAATGATGCTTAGACATTTGCAAAACTCCGGACGTCTGCAGTGAGGAACGAACGCGCTATTATCCTTTCCGGGGAGCAACGCGTTCACCACTACATCATGTGGGTCCTTCGTTTCGCCTTTCTCTCATCTAGTTTACTATCGGCAAGTGCCATCAGCAATCATCTGTCAACGGGACCGATCTGGGGAGCCCGAACCGGCATTGAACCCAGTTAATCTGATATTATTATTAATATTATTATTGTAGCTATTATAAGATTTTTCCAACGTTACTTACCTGTATCACCTGTATCCCGTTGATCGTCGAGTGACTCAGGTGGACGCCAGTAAATCTTCCATTTTTCCCTGTTGTGTGCAAGAGTAACCCAGTGGGTTCTGCTCGCTCTAGGGACTCGCTGCGCATCATACCCCTCTTCTAGGCTTTTGGTGAAAAACTCTAACCATTGGGTCGGTTGTCTTCCTGCAGTACGTTTGACATCCCGAGAAATCCAATCACTAATCGCTCTTGTCCATGTTGTCATTCATACGCACTATATGTCCGACCCACCTTATCTTCGACTGTTTGGCGTACAGAACGGCATCTTTGATTTTTGATCGTTGACGCAGATCGGAGCTTCGGATCCCATCTCTTACTTGTGTGGAACGGGATTCTCCTAGCATCGACCTTTCGACTGCGCGTTCGATAACGTTGCAGCGACCAGGTTTCTGACGCATACGTCAGGGCAGGAAGTACCGTTGAGTCGAAAAGGTGGGCACGCAGTCGGGTGCTCTCTGTTCTCTTCACTACAACCTCGATACTCTTGAAAGCTCCTCAAGCCACTCGTTTCCTTCTGCTCAGCTCTGGAACTAGGTCGTTTATCATATTGATTTCCCGACATAAATAGTTATAACTGGAGCATTCGGAGATATTCGTTCCGTTAAGTGTGAATGGGGCATAAGAAACCAATCCGTTCCTCGTGAACATTGTTTTGTGAGATTTAGCCGAAGACCAACCTTTCCATAGGCTTTATCAAAGTCCGCCAGCATTCGCTCCGCTTGGCTAATGTTTGGTGTTATAAGGACGATGTCATCAGCAAAGCGAAGATGGTGTAACTGCCGACCATCGATTTCCACTCCTATATTGTCGCATTCTAATGCTCGCATAACGTTCTGGAGGGTGGCGGTAAATAATTTGGGGAAGATGGTATCGCCATGACTAACCCATCTTTTGACGTCGATTTTAATATCGTTGTAGAATGGTGAATTTTGGTTGCGAAATTTTTGTACAACTCACGAGGAATCTTTATGCACTGAGTAGGGTTACCAAGAGCTTCCATGACTGCTTCTACATCAATCGAGTCAAAGGCCATCAAATCGATGAAAGTGAGACAGAGCCGTCTTTTGTACTCTTGCGATACTTCGGTGAGTCTCCTATGGCGTCGATGTGGTCCATCGTACTAAATCTTTTTCGAAACCTTGCTTGCTCACATGGCTGTCCTTCGTCCAGTGTTCTGTCAATCCTGTTTTGGATGACTCGAGTAGGAAATTTGTAGACAACAGAGAGCATTCAGGTAGGGCGACAGTTGCCGATGTCGTGGAGATCACCATACTTGAATATTAGTACGGTCGTGCTGATCTTCCAATGAGAAGGGATCTTTCATTCAGATAGACGTGTGAACAGCCGAGCCAGTGCGTTTACGAGGACTGGTGGAAGGTCCTTCAGGCGTTCAGATCTTATCCTGTCCGGACCTAGTGCTGTTCGATTTTTTACCGACGAAACGACATGCCGGATTTTCGAAGGGGGAACTGGTGGCACGATATAGCTATCCCTCTTTATTTAATATGAGGGGAGGAGGACATGGCTATTGAAGAGATCTGAATAGTATTCACGAATGATTTTCTCCATTGCCCTTCTGGACGTTGTAACTGTTCCGTCAGGGCGTTGGAGCACAATCATCTTGGTCTTGTAATAAGCGAAGCATCGGTGTGCTTTGCGAATGCTTTTCCCAGCCTCTGCAGCTTCGACCATTACTGCTGCTCCTCTCTTTAAGATCTTCTATCTTCTAAGATCTTTCATCGCCTCTTTGCATTGTTTTGCAAGTTCGATCGTTAGTTCGCGGTTGCCTCCAACTTGTGCGATTCCACGCTGCTGTATCAGCTCAAGAGTTTCCGGAGACAGACGTCTCTTGGTGACTTTCGAACTCTGAGCTTCAATAGCGCCAATGTGAAGGTGATAAACGAGCTAATCGTACACCTCGTCGATGTTATCGACAACGGTACCTTCTCAGGAGCCAACTAATGAGTGGAGTAAGTACCACTTCATAGCGGTTTTGGGAATCCGCTTTTTTGAATTTAGCGGCTTTTTCCGCTATATGCGAAAAATGGAATTTTGCAAGGAGGCAGTGGCCTGATCTCGTCTACAATTTTAGGACAACAACGACATCTGTTAGGTAAAACCTATTTATTATGATTTCTTTATGGTACTCTCCACTGGGGGACTCCCACGTCCAGCGTTGAGGGTGGGGCTTATGGAATTGCGGGTCACCATGGATTGTCTTAGTCGTCACGATAAACTCAGAGAGCCGCTCACCCTGCTCGTTCCATTCTAATCCGTGGCTCCCAATGTGACGTTCTTTAGACGTTATTTTTGTACAAACTTGGCGTTGAAGTCTCCAATGATGACCTTGAAGAATGTATGGTCTTCTCCGTAGAACTTCTACAAGTCCATATAGAACGCTTCGACTTCTTCTTCGTCATAGTTTTATGTCGGCGTGTAAACGACGAAGATTGTCAAAGCCGGTGTTGCTCCACATCTTTTCAATCCTAAACATTCGATTTGAATTGTTAGTTGTTCGAATGAATCGGTTTTCACGGACAAACACCTGTTAACGAGAACACCGACGCCGCCGATTCCTCAACTGTCGCATGTTCCGAGGAACAGTTCTTCTCCGGTGTCATAGACGGTGTTGAATGTGTGGCGTCGTCTCGTCTCGGCCAGACCAATGACGTCGTACCTTATCTTTCTTGCGTGCATTAGCAAGTCTTCTATCGAGGACCCGGATGCAAGTGTACGTCCGATGTAGGTAGAGATCGTTACCTTAGTTCTTTGCAATCCAGGCAGCTTCCATTGGACCTGAGATTTTAGCAGCCTCTCTGTACTCGTCCTAGCCAATGCTGCCGAATTGCGGGCTCTTTCGGGGTCAGGCGACTGAGGCCCATTTGTTTTTTTTACTGTTTAGCATTTTTGATACCCACATATAGCTTGCTGGGCTCTGAACGTGGGTGCTGGGTATACTCACGAGTAGCTTGCCAGGCTCTCCCAGAGTGGACATGGAGTTTGTTTGTTAGAGGCGACTCCAAACCGCCTCCCTTCCCTATTACTTGATTGCAGGCTTTTGGCCGAATTGACTCGTAGAATACAATCCGCATAAACTTGAATGCACCCACAGACGCGTGCATGAATACGTCTCCCAAATGCAGAAAGTATATGTCAAATCGGCACAGCACAAATAGGGAGCCGATTCCTTGGATACGCCTGCGTCTCAGGGAAGCATACGGTCGCTTTTGGTCCGCAATTAGAACCCCTATCCGCCAGCTGGGGACGCGCCACGTAGCCTCGCGACTAACCGGCTCGAGATCCCTCATATAAGGGACCTCCGACGTTATTAGTAAAACATAAATAAACCCCACACGAAAATAGTTTCTTAGTCACGATGGAGTAAGCCAGAAGATCAAATCCTGTGTTTTCGTTAGTAGTACGTACAACCGTACTTGTTAGGATATAAATTTGAAAACACCCCTTAAAACTACAAAGTGAAACGATCCCCCTATGGAACTACAACTAGACGCAGTAAGAAGAAATTTCTTAAATAATCTGCACTTCCTTAGACTTAGCCTCTTTCGTTTTCATGATGTCATGATGCTACCACTCCAACATTGACAAGAACTCCCACAAAGCGTAGAAAAGACGAAAAAGAAAAGGAAAATAGATGAGATGGGAAAACAAATATGAGCAAAAAACGTCACCGATGAGAGCTCATTAAATTTAAACTGAGTCTACCTATTAATTCACAGAATCACTTGTGACGAATAATTCACCAGAACTAAGAACAATGATAGCAGTACAGGGATTTTTGTAATGTGTTAGTTGTCCCCCTAAAACGCCAACGGCTATTAGATCAATCAAAACACTCCTAGTATAATTTTTTCTCATTAAAACCAAACGAATCCTCATAATGGCAGTCAAAATTTGAGCAAACCTAATACAAATATAAGTCTCCCTGTACTGCTTTCACCATTGAATCCAAAAGAAAATATGCAGATAAGACAGCTACATAGCAAGACATCTAGGAACATACCTCGCCTTTAGCGATAGACTCTCCGGGAACGAAAAGCTCAGGAAATATATTGTCCAGATACCACTTGAATGATTTACATCCAAGACGTTCACGTAACTTCTTGCGATCCGAAATATCACCAAAGTCACCCTAGAAGTAGATAAGTAGACCACAGTAGACTAAAGTGAAGAACACGTCACTGGACTAAGAAAAATAACGACCAGTAATGAAAAACCATAGAGACACGACATCTGAAGTGGCCTACAAACTACGAAATTAGAAGTGTTAGGAAGAAAAGAAGCAAAAAATAGGATCAATGACCAACCAATTGATTATTTATACGCTCATAAAAATATTGCTTATAATCGTCCAACCACACTTCTGCTAAACGAATCGAATTCCTCTTAAGAACGTTTACGCCACTCCTGAATAGAAGTCACTTTATAGGTTCCTGAGGTGTTCGTAACAAAATCGAAGTGATCAATAAAGTCACATACTCATGCTCCTGAACCGGATCAATAAATAAAGAAGGTAAAGCCATTGATTATTAAAAGGTTAAAACAACGAAAAATTACCTCCACTTATACGGAGAACGCTTACGAAAAACATGACCAACGTGTGAACATGGCACAATTTCCAATTTTCCACCACACATCCATATCTATACAAACATGCATTACGTTAAAATACTTCTAAGGTTTAACTTTTATGTACTGCCGACTCTTTCCTATGACAGGTTACGATGTGAAGTAAAATTACAGGGCAGTTGAGAGATGAGCAAAGCTCGCAACCTCAGATGGGCTTCGAACTTGCGACTACCTTTACCGGGGCTCAACTGCTATCCACTACATCAACCGAGACTCTTGCCTTGTCCACCTCTTACGCTGTTTCTCACCCTAACGGTGCTAAATAAAACACTTGTAACTACCAAGTTCAATACTAATGTTTGTAAATTTGCTAAAGAATGCCAATAAAAGAAGATGAACATGGGGAACGACCACAGAGGTTACTGACTTTAACACGACTCAGTCAAGTGCGAAAAGGTAGTAGAGTATTTTGTTCTATAAATGGTAAAAAACCGATTATATGATAAACCTTTTGAAACAACTGACACGAACATTGCAAACACACTATTCCACATTTTTACATATCAAGAAGACAAGTCTCATAGATAACTGGTATGAAACCATACCTTAAAAGAGAGTTCCAAGTTTTCTCCTCCCCAGATATCAAATCCTGGATCGTATGTTCCAAGCTTTTCAAAGTACGTTCGATCAATGGAAAAAAGACCACCAGCCATGGTAGGTGACCTAAAACGCAACTACTACTCACTGATTTATGAGTTATAAACAAGTAGTAAATTCGGTTAGTATAGTGTTACATGCTGAACCGTAAGTGTTTCTCACAAATGTCTCGTCCACGTCTTATACAGGAAATTATCATGTAACGAAAAACTTTTGCTCATACTTCGTAGAAGAATCTCATTATGAAAACTAGTAAGAGCAAGTGACCAGCAAACTTTTATAATTCCGGGTAGAAAATACTTACCGAACCGGATCAATATGCCTTGCACGAGACTTCCGATCTCTTTCAGGTATAGGGTGCCAGTTAAATTGTAGACCCCAATCAAACCCTCCAACATTTATAAAGTAAGCCTAAAAATAGATGTAAACGCCGCCAAATATGCAAAAAATAAAATAACTGGTCAAGAAACAGACTGAACGAAATAGTAACCGAACCAACCTTAGAATGGTGATATTCGAATGTTTCATCATCGATGACGTCAATAACTGGACAGACAACAGTAGTCGGATCTCTCTTGATACGATCCAATAGTGGTTCCAACCAACCTAAAAATAACAAATTACCTACGCTATAACGATGCTAAGATATTCGCATAACTTTGACCCCAGGTCAAACTGAACCACGATTTCCCTTTCCGGGGTCGTCTCAAGTACTACACACTACACCACAAAGGCGCTTGCTCTGCTTTTCTCTTAGTTCCTTTTCTAACTAAAGCTGCTATCACCAATGACTCGTTATCATAATTGATCTAGGGAGCACAAATCGGCATTGAACCCAGTTAAGCTAAGGATGTAGTCGAAATCACAATGTTAACCTTATATTTGCCGCCCACTAGAATTTTTTTAACGGCAGATTACGATGTGAATTACAACCACAACGATGGTGAGATATTCGGAAAACTCGGACGCTTGGTTGTGGTTGTAATCCACATCGTACCCTGCCGTAAAAAACTATAGTAGGCAGAAAATGAAGGTTGACACTGTGATTTCAACTATACCCTTAGCTTAACTGGGTTCGATGCCGATTTACGCTCCCCAGATCAATCCCGTTGACGGATGATTGCTGATGCCAAAAGATCGATAGAACTAGCTGAGAGACAGGCGAAGCGAAGGACTCACATACCCACATGGTGTGGTGGTGAACGCGTTACTCCTCGGAAAGAACAATAGCGCGTTCGTTCCCCACCGCATCGGAGTTTTGCAAATATCTCAGCACCATTAAAGTTATAAAAGAAGTTGCACGATGTTGAGATAATCGCAAAACTTGTACCCGAGCCAGATCGCTCACGACTTGTGCTCCTCAGATGACAGGTAATTCCTGATGACAGCGTTACGTAGAAATCTAGCTCAGAGAAACGCAGAACAAGGGCCTTCGTGGTGCCGTGTATAATAGGTGAACAAATCATGGTTCGATCTGGCCCGGGGTGCAAGTTTTGCGAATATCTAGGCATAGTTTTGGTTGTAATTTACATCATATCCTGCTGTGAAAAATTATAGTAGGCAGAAAACAAAAGGCTAACATTGTTATTCACGCAATATTTTAATGTTTTCCCAAGCTAACTGTTAGGTCGCACAGAAATAAACCAGCGTTTTTAAGTATATTATTTAAAATGTCATAACTTGCTTCGAACAAAACTTTAGCGATTAAAACAAAAACCATTTGAGCCTACACATTTTTGCCAACGAGAAACAAGTTTATTTATTTCAGTTGCACAAAATTCTGAAGCTCTGGAAGCGATGAATTCGTTGAAGGCATTTTATGAATCGTCGTGGTTGGTGAAGCATCTCTCGCGCAGGTAGTTGTCAAAGTGCTTGAAGAAGTGACAGGCGGCACACGAGAGGTTTGTTGAATACGGTAGATAAGGTGAAGTTTCGTAACCCAACTTGTCAAACTCTTGCAGAGATGGTTCCGAAACGTGAGGCCAGGCGTTGTCGTGAAGAAGCATTGGTCCTATTCTGTTGACTAATGCCGGTCGCTGTTGTTCGAGTTTACAGTGCACTTCGTCGATTCGTTGGCAATACTTCTCTACCGTAATCGCTTCACCCAGATCCAAAAAGCTGTGATGAATCAGCCCGGCTGCAGACCACCAAACAGTCACCATAACATCTTTTTGGTGTAATTTCCGCTTTGAGAAGTGCTGCGGAGCCCGATCGCAATCCAACCATGGAGCTGAGAATCGCAGGTTGTCGTATAGAATCCACTTCTCATCGCACGTTACAATTAGATCAAGAATGGAATCGTTTTGCTGCGCGGAACAAGAGGAGACGAGACTTCAAAACGACGACTTTCTTGATTATCGTTTAATTCGTGCGGTACCCACTTGTCGAGTTTTTTTGTCTTTGCTATGCGATTCAACTGAATGGAAATTGTTCCTATGCTTATTCCAATCTCTTCTGCAAGCTCTTGAATAGTTGTTCGCATTTTTGCTTCCACTAGTGCCTTCAATTTGTCGTCGTTAAGTTCGTTCGGATGTCCGGCCCTTCCTCATCATCAAGGTCGGAATCACTAGATCGGAAATTGCGGAACAATGTTCGCACCGTTAATTCACCAACACTACTTTCACCCAACCTCTATTTATGTTTAGAGCCGTTCCTGCTACGCTACGACCGAGCTTGAACTCATAAAATAAAACTTGACGAAAATTCGTTTTTAACATCAAAACTGCACAGTTCAAAATTGGTTAAAAAATGTAACTTTTGACAAAATATAAAGATATGGTTAGAAAGAGCATAAAATCAGCTTTCAATGGTGTATAATATTTCGAGGTACAAAGCACATTTCATTGGTAAAAAAATACATTAAAACAATAAATATTTGAAAACGCTTATTTATTTCTGAACAACCTAATACATTCCCGATGGATATGCACTGGTTTGAAGTCACACGCGGGGAGAACACTGTGGCCGATATGAGTTGATCTACAGTCATTTTTCAATGTTTTAGTATGCACATCTTCTTTGATGCACTTTTTTGCACTCTACCTTGTATCTGTATCTTGACCAATAGGAGTCGGCTCTGGCATAGTCATTGGGAAACTGTCCAGCATACTTGACCTTCTTACGACCATGGCCATTTTCTCGTGTCGGCCTCGTCGAACCGATTGTCATTGGAGCATAATCAGACTGCGCATTGAAATGAAGATGTACGGTCCAAAACGTATGGCATGGCACACATTGAAGTCAGTGCGTATGGTGGTGAAAGGGTTAATAATTTACAGTCATCTTTTCTTGGACGAGTTCATTTTGCGTCGATAAACTGTTGCTGTTGAACAGAATAAGCACCACTGAGAATAATGTCAATGAAGGGGTACAGGAATATCTCTATTGGAACACTGAATTTCGAATGGATAACTTTTCACTAAGATAAAATGATAAACCACTGATGAGGAATCTTCAGATTGGCCCGATTTTCACAGTCTATGCGTTCATCAGAAGATTGACAGTATCACGCTTGGTTGGTGGACGAGCTCTTTTTCATCCCTCTTAATGGTCCGACAATGCGGAACGACAGAAAGAAGAACAAAGGGGATAAGTAGAATAAGGGAGTGTAGAAATTCCTACCAAAAAACATAAAAACAAATCAGATTTTGAAGAGAGAAGCACAACAAAAAAGGCGGGGTTATTCATTGAGGAGGCATTGCAGCCGGTACGACTTATATTCAAGTTACACAGCACGAGTCGAAGAATTAACTGCTACCATGTATGTGTTAACAATTGAAGGAGGAAAAGAAAACGAATAAGCAAATAATTGAACGAAACTGGGAAGTAAATAATGCTATTCTGAGTCATGGGAAAATCCTTCACTAACCTTTCATGCATTCGCAATGCGAGTCGAGATAGGTGAGCACCTTTCCGACCGCCACCGAAGCTCCGCGAAGTCGAGCTCTAATAAGGCCTTCACGTTTCTCCATTCGAACAATTTTAACTTTTGGGAACTGGGACATGTAACGTGCAAGCGGTTCTAGAGATTGGATCAGATTAAAATGAAAACTAATGCGAAACAAATTTAGAAAAACTCTCGCGGTGTACTTCTAATTTATATAACAAGGAGACACCATACTAATTAACGCCATAAAAAAAGGATAAAGCTCTCGTCGTTGATCAATCCCTCAGGGATGCGCTATGCATTTAACACTTCACTAACCACCGTTGGAGGTGAATGAATGCATATCTTACCTTCACAATGACTTGCGATGGTTTACCGATGTAGCGAGCGAGTGCTGTTATCCTCCCAGACAAGTCCCGTACCAATTTTCCAACTCTTGAGAGATGGAAGGATTGGTGGGTCATAGGCACAGGGATCGACTCCACGTGTGTGTAGCAGGGCACTTCCGACCACTGCGCCACAAGAGCCACTAAAGCAATAGGATCCGAAAACCCTCCACCGAACTTTAGCTGGTCGCTTTGGCAAGAAATGTTCCACTGACTACAATCCGCTTTTTTTTTAATGTTACACCGCAGCGTTTCACTAGCATTTAAATAAACAATTGGGGCATTAACACGTCATTGAAGACAATAGAACAGATTCCATCGCCCTTATAAGTTCGACTACGCGCTGACCACAAGTATTACTTCCACTTTTTTCCATTGCCATGAGATCGTTGACTAGATATTAAGCCGACTACGAATAAACAGTGATTGAGTGAAATTACACAACGATTTGTAGAAATTGAAGAGGTGAAGTAGATATTTATTAAAGCCTTTTCTTCTTCTTCTTCTTTCTTTCAAGGATTCGGGTTTGGTATAAATACGATAAACCAAACCTTTTAGGTGTGGCATGTCGGAGAAATCGTCCACTAAAATGATTTCTTTCAGCAGTTTCTCAGGAGTTCGTTCCAGAACTGAATGTACAGTCCGCAATAAAACAGACCATGCTTCATTATGAAAGCATATAACGACTGATGTGTCTGGTAGATCGTTTTGGTAGACCTCTTGCAAACATCTAAGAGAAAGGATTTCATTAAACACAAAACGCTTGCTGGCGTTTCCAACTAACGTTTAAAAATACACATTAATCTTGAAACATTTCCATTACAAACAAATCCATTATTTCACATGAATCAGCCTTCTGTTGTACATTTCGCCTGCATATTACAACAAAGATAAGCCATTGAGTTAGTATTTTAGATGAGCTAGTAAGAGGCAAATATAAGACTATTAAACAAACACTGACAACTGATCAATATGTATTCTTTCTTTGACAGGCTTACACGAGGTTGATAAATATATTTATTTTCGATTAACGTTTCGACATCTTTTCGTCTTCCTCAGAGCCGATGATCCGCGTCAATGGTGCACGCTTGTTATTAGTCTCGATGTAGCATCTTCGCCTTCGTCCCGAGTCAGGTCTTCCTCAGCGGGCCATCTTCTCGAACGAGGCACACTCACTCGGTGATGGCCTTTTTCATAGCTGAACTTCTACATGGCCATTGTATTCGATACTATGTGGACTAATCGTTGTCAATATTTCCTTCTGCTGAGTGACTTTGTAATAAAGTGTCGAAATATTATTGACAACTGAATTTGGATAATACTATATAATTTTATTTTACATTTTACATTACATATTTTATTTTAATTTTGTTTTACATATTTAATTGACCAATTTTCCTCTGTGCACCGTCTTCACTGAACTCAATGCATGACCGAAATACTCACCCAAAGCGAACCTAACCTTCTTTAGACTTTATTATAACATGTAACAACACAGTCCGGTTAGTCGTCCATTAATTTCATCCGGCGTTAGTACGATTTCTATTTGTGCCTTGAGCATCATCTTTTTCTACTAAGGTCTTGATGAGAAATTCTGACCATCGTATCCATGGTTCTCCAGCTGTGCGTTTACCATCCCAAAAAATCAAGTCGTTAACAGTCGTTAACGACAATTTGCTGTACAGAACGGCGTCTTAGATTTTTATCGATGACGTACGTCGGAGTTTAAGATACCCTTTCTCACTTACATGATGTGGGATACACGTTGAGTGATCTTCCACCCTGCTTACGTAGTGATCAGGTTTCTGAAGCATACGTTAAGGCAGCAAGGATCTTATAGTCGAAAAGGTGTGTATGAATTCAGGTGTTGTTTGTTCTCCTCACTACAACCCCGATACTTTTGAAAGCTCCCTATGCCGCTTGCTTTCTCCTGCTGACTCATGAGAAACAAATTTGTTAAACATAAACATTGTTTTCGTGAGATATGGTCAAAGGCCAATCTTTCTTCAAGCGTTCTCAAAGTCGGCCAACGTTCGCTCTGCTTAGTGTTATAAGAACGATATAAGTTAAGCGAAGATGATGTAATTGCTGATAATCGATTTGCACTCCAACATTGTCTCATTCCAGTTTTCGCTGCACATTCTCAAGGCTGGTCATTAAGAATTTTGATAAGAGAGTGAATTGTTTTCGAACCTTCCTTGAACGCATGGGTGTTCTTCGTCCAACGTTCGGTCAATCCTATTGAGGATGACTCGAGTGACGAGTATATAGACGACGGACAGCAAGAAGATTGAGTGGTAATTATGGATCTCATGGAGACCTTGATTCTAGTTTTTCACTCCACAACTTGTTGAAGAAAAAGCCAAAAAATGGAGAAATAACAACAAGACTGGTGTAGATGAACAAACTATCGAGTTGAACGTATGCTGTCAAAGGTGTCTCTTTGTGTATGCATTGAAATCGATGCGTCACGAATATGTTAATGTAATTTGGTAGCACATTCAACATCATGAAAGATATGAGGAAAACGATGGAAATATGACTCACTCCTTGTCGGCATTCTCCGGTAACGTCCGATGTATGGATATTAAATCGGAAGCGTATTGGTTGAAGGCGTTGTTTTGAAAACCAAGATCATACCGTTTCTTTTGTTCAGGTGTTAGGCTCTAAATTATAGAAAATGTATCGGATATAACAAGATGACTAACTAATTTTTAAGTATGAACTCTGCACCGTCTTATTGATATGTACTGCCTTGCCATTCTCTCCTTCTTGGTTAGGATCACCGAATTTGTAGATCGGATCTGACACGTTCACAACAAACAGAGGTTTCCGCAAGATAGGCATCTAAAAAAACTAGTGTGATTTGTATTTCAGTCGAATGTAGACCAGGCTGATGGCTATCATTGTTGGCCGTTTTCATGACAGCGTCCGATGCATCTTCCCCAATATGTTATTCTCTATACCAGTGAACGTCACGTGCCAACGTTCATTGAATTTTATTGATCGTTTTCTATCCAAAATCATTTAAAAACATAAGGAAACCAAGGTCTTTTATTCATATCAAAAAATGCCGTTCAAGCGTTCATATAATTGTGGATACAACATCTATAGAGTAAAAAAAACAACGGCAGATGCGCAGAAGATGTAACTAAATGAAGATGATGTCTAATGTGATAAAGACAAAGTAAAAAGGTTCGTTGCCCAACAATTCTTTAGGAACGTGGGATAAGCCATTAACACGAGATTGTCAAAATGGTCTTCCGAGAGGTTATTGAATGTACATTTAGCCCATATCGATACGTGCCTCTTGATATACCAAATCAGTATTTTTATTTTTCCAGACAAATGTACTTAATCTGCTAATCCTGGTGGGAAGAGACCATGGTTAGCCCTTAGAAGTGAGATCGAACCAATGAGCATGTGTGTACTGTAAAGCACCTCTAACCAATCCTCTATACGCTCTTTTATAACTGCTACAGGCAATATTTATTAACTTGATACCCCATTTTTGACCATTAAATTCTAATAAAGTCATGAAGCTTTGTTATATGGCCAATTCAAAAGCAAAACTTTTGCTGTTTAGTAGGATGTTAAGCCTAAACGTTCATAGACATTTGCAGCAAGATCTTTCGAATCGCTAGGAAGGTGGTCAGGAATAAGGATGAAAAGAGAGAGAGACAGAGAGGGAGGGAAGAAGAGAGAGAGGGAGGAAAGGAGGGAAGAGAGAAAGGAAGACAGAGGAAAAGAAAGGAGGGAAAACGACGAAATCGAGAACATGACCTTACCGGTCTGTTATTGTCCTGAGGTGGGTTCTCTTGTTCCTTTTTCTCTACCGGCGGTCCGAATCCTTCTACTAAAGGCATTTGAGGAATGTGTTTCGTCATTTCAGCTTGACTTTTATGGAGCTAAATATTGACGTTATTAAGACATTTTCCTTAAGAAGTCTTTGTCAAATGGCCAATAAGGTGGGAATCACAACGCTGTCCAGATTTTTAAATGAAGAAACTGGGATATAAAGATTATGCTAATTGTAAACCAATAGGAAAACGATTTAGTCAAAAAACCGAGTAAAAACAGTTTGCAAAAGAAATGAAATATCTAAACTTTCAAAAAAGACAGAAGACTCCATATGAGGTTCAGTCGGAATATAAGAGAAAACGTCTGTAAAGCTGAAAAAAAAGAATCAAGCTCTCGGCGTTGATCAATCCCTGAGGGATGCACCATGCACTTGATTTCATTAAGCATCGTTTGGAGGTGATTAAGTGCATATTCTTGCCTTTAAAACAGCTCGAGATGGCCCTATCGATGTATCGAGCCAGTGCTGCTATCCTCCCAGACAAGTCCGGTACCAATTTGCCGACCCCGGAGGGATGGACGGCTTGGTGGGCCATGGGCGCCGAGATCGATTCCACGTGTGTGTCGCATGGAGTCTCCGACCACTGCGCCAAACGCTCCCCGCACCCAAAAAAAAGGCAGAAGACTACTAATGATCAGTCGGAATATGAGCGAAAACGTCTGGTAAAATAAAAAATCTCAGAAAATTCTTGAAACTTACAGCACGTGAGTACTCTGTGAAGGACAAATACATAAGAGCACATATCCACAAAATTGGCACTAATAGAATTGTTTTAAAGATTAGCGATCGTTTCCTGGCTGGAAATAGCATGTCGAGTGACTAAATAGATTGGTACCCGTAGTGTTAGTAACAATAAATATAGTAGTAGAATAGCAGAGAAGAATAAGAGTGTATTTTAGGCTTCTTCCAGCCTTCAGTAGATGGCAGCAATGACGGCGACGAGCCGAAGCAGTTCCAACTCGTAGTTCTTCTCCCACTTATCCGAACTATAAGCTGCCGGTCTTCGCAGTCCTCTGCAGTGAAAGCTTCTTCTGCTGAAATTGTCATTATAATACATGAGGAAAAATCAGCAACTTAATGAAATGCGAACGAATGCGAGGTCATACAACGAATGGTACAAACGGAAAAGGCGAATGCAACGCGGAAATAGAAAGTTAGGATACGAGCAATGTACTGTGACGTCCAAAAAAAATCCAGGAAACTTAGGAGTAAAACACGAGGTTTGTCTGTGGAGATAAAATATACCACTTGAAAAACTCATACTTTATAGCGAGAACAGATAATTTGTTTGATGCTGATCAATCATTTTTGATTGAGCCATGAACCATCGTACCTCATGGGGAATCGTAGATGCAACTGGATGCATATTTGGGTTATATAATGAATTCTAGGAAACTGCTGATGAGTAAAGAGTGCGTGTAACGCGGTGGTAATGATACCGGTCATCACAAACACGAGGCTGGTTCGAACTCGCACCAGTTCATCAAGTCTCTCATGCTCCGAGATCGGAAAACAGCCATCAGACTTGTTCGGTAAGCGGCAGCCGATCCAAAAAAAAGCCGGTGACTGTATGTGCTGAAGACCTGAAAGCGCCGTAGCACAATTATTGCAACATTGTACCAACGCACCAACTCACTTCCTCAAATCAACGTAAGAAGGTACTAGCAAACTATAACAACACTCAAGGAAGAATCAAGTCGAATAGCATTCAACGGTATCCACACTGAAGAAAACAATCCTCAAGCAGTCGCCGAATTCACATTCATGCTCAGAGACCTTCACGGATGATGGATGCGAGGAAACGAATGGAAGACAAGAAGTGCAAGGAACCGCACAGGAGATGTGGAGATGGGTGACGTAAAATAAAAAGAATCGATGCGTAAACCCGGTATTTTCTGTCCTTTGTGTTTTTCCTCCATCCAGACAAGTGTGTCAGCAATTGGCAAGCCCAGGAATAATGGAAGCTTTGCAACCTCAAACAACTCCGTTACCCACTCATATTATTCGGCAAAGCCTTCAATTATTATTAAACCCATCAAGCACTAAAAAACAGCACTACTTCAGTACGAAATCATCACCGTGCAGTACCATCCAAACAGCAAACGAGTTCACATAGAAACGTAATGAGTTAAGTAAACACCAGTTGTAAAAATAACATTTATATTACGCAACACAAATCATTAAATAAATATCATACAACGCACACAATGAGTGCGGTATTGTATAAACACTTGAATGGAAACTGCCCTTTACGATATGCCACCCACCACATAGAAACAGATGGAAACTAATGTGTTCTAAAATTGCTTTTACAGTCGGCATTTGTGCAAAAGTTCTGAAAGCCGGTTAAATCTCTCTCCGTTATCCGAAGCTGCCAGTGAGTGCTTGTGTAGAAAGCGTAAGTACACCATGATATGGCTAGTATGGGTGCCTTGACCAAAAAACTGGCTCAAACATAAGGACAACGGACCTGTGTAACCCGAACGTCAAGTGCAGCCATCATCTATTAATTCTCCATTTGAGCAGGAATTCATCGATATTAAATCAGAACATCACATCATGGAAGGTGTTTCATGGTTCTAACACAACGGAAGAAAAGTCTACTCAGAAAAGCCCTTTAAACTCCACTTTTGGAGCAGCAGGTCACATCAAATTACACATGAGTGTCTGGGGAGGGAGGACACAAACGAAACCGTTATTGTCCACGACGGCAGAAACAACGAACTGCTTGTTAAAGGACTTCAAAACTGTGAATCAACATTCAATTCTCCGGTCAGGAGTTTTCAACAACAATACCAATACCACAACACAGCAGAGTGGCGAAAAATGTTTCTGACTTGATAGGAACCCAAGACACCTCACAAAATTCGTAAAGTCTGATGGACAGATCTTAGCGAAACAGTATATAGAAACAGTGTCCAGAAAGCAAATGATATTAGAAGAAACCTGGTAAAAAGCCAAAATCCGTTAGAGAAAGAAAAATAAGTTAAGCAATCTATGTGCCAACTCTCAGGGTTAAAAATCTTGTCAGAAATAAAACGAAACACGGATTTTTTTGAAAAGTTCGAGTAGTAACCAAAACCACGAAGAGGGCAGCGTTATATCTAAAATCACCAATTGCGAGACGCTCTGAAATAGAGGCCATGAATTAAATATTTGCTCCAACAAACATCACAACATCTTTTCAAAGGAGGAAACTGCCGAACTATGGGAAAGTTCATAGTCTGACGAAAGCTCTGACGTATTACGTGACTCAAATCGCTAGTTTATGTTCAGTACGAAAAAAACAATAAACTGCGCTTGAAGGAAATCATCACTTTGTTTCGCAAACCAACAAGTAAACCTGTTATGCATGAAATATCTTGCTGGATGCTACTGGAATGGATAAACAACCGAAGTGAAAAACACATGGAACACTCAAGTGATGAGAAGCGTCATCGGCAGATGAACAGGAACTGTAGAGTGGCTCCAATAAGAGGATCTCCTAAACAACCGTCTACTAAAGAAACCACTTATATAAGATGGACGGACGTGTTTATGGCATGCGGCAACCAGCTATGGCTACGGTTGGATGTGGGCTACGAACCAAAGCGTAGTGCTGAAAAATGTCATTACGCTTGAAGAAGAATATCTGTATGGATGAAAGATGCGATGAAAAGATAAAAGAATGAAAATAGGTAGCCGCTGTTGAATGCACAACTTTCGTAAATAAATAGCAGCAAGAAAAAATATTTAAAAAATGGAGGACTTAAAAGAGTTCAACGAGAGGAGGTTTTGAAATAGAAAGCTCGATAGAAAAGAAATCCAGAGGATTCAGAAAAATCATCTCGAAAGTGGTGGAAAAATACAGTCAAGGAATTGAATTTGAGTATCAGTCATCTAAACTACTCAGAAAAACGACAATTACATAGACATCGATTCCAGATTTTCAAATGATGGTTGCCTGTAAACTGAATGGAACGATGTGCCCAATCAAATAGTCAAGAACTGTCTACATATACGAGCTAGACACTTCCTTTCAAGTATAAACTAAATAAATAATTAAGAATGTATACATGCGTATACATATATATTTGCCTACGGCAGGAGCATTCTGAAAAGGAGTCATAGAGAATCAAAAGCAGTCTGGTTATCCTAACTCATATTTGGACACTTGGATGGCCCATCTCCATTGGTTGTGCGGGCCCCAGCATAATTTCCATTGTCCAGAGATTTGCTGGTTTAGCCATTGTTGTCCCGAGGACAGCCTGGCTAAAGCCTATCTCAGGTCGTCACCACCACACGCAGTCGCAACCCTTGTGGATTAGAGGGAGATTTGCCACCATGCGACTTTGATACCAGGACGGTGGTGGATCCTGGTATTGGTTTACTCTTAGCTAGGCTTCGTGATGGAAACGCCGGACTCCTTCTCAGCTTGGGAGACCCTGCCAATGGGATCAATCTCCCTGCTGTACATCACAGTCCGACAGTCAGGAATACCTCCTAGCCACGAGGAATACCTCCATGGTAAACCGTTGGGACGACCCTAACCTATGAGTGGACAAAAATAACAAAAAATAACAGTGAAGCTTTTTGGATCAATGCCAAAAACCCTACAATGAATAGCAGGGACGAATGCCCGGAGGTCATACGCGACCTGATCCCGTATGTAGCATAGCGGAGACGATTTTGAAGTATCAGTATCCTTGCACAGGAGTCCAAAACACCAGCGCGAAAACTCCTAGAGGCTTCTTGGATCAATGCCAAAGAAATCCTACAATGAATAGCAGGGACGAATGCCCGGAGGTCATACGCGACCTGATCCCGTACGTTCGCATCGATTTTTGATGTGGGATGGTGCAATCACACATGCGACTATAATCAGCTGTTCTAAACTTCCTCATTGGAAGTCACGAAAAAGCGGTGGGTTTTTCGAGAAGTTGTTGGTCATGCGACTATAATCAGCTGTTCTAAACTTCCTCATTGGAAGTCACGAAAAAGCGGTGGGTTTTTCGAGAAGTTGTTGATCATGTAAGTACCAAAGAGTCTTTCGTCTTTGTGTAAGTGTTAATGAAGCGTTTGGCCTAGTAGATTGTATATCAGTATACCCTTCCAGGCTCTGAAGAAGGCGATACTGCCGAAACGTCAGCTAGTGTTGTATTGCATTGTGTTTCCCTATGGAAGTAAATGTATGCTGTTTAAAAACCTCGCGATTGCTGAACAAGAAAACGACACTCATATTCCAATGCCGAGGTTAAGAGAAAGTCGATCCTGGGAAAAATAACAAACCCAACAATTTTCTATAGCACGGCTGGTTTCAAAAAAAAGTGCTATCCAAGGAAAATAGGCCAAAGGACAACTGCTTTAAAAAAAGATGTTAGGTGGTATTTCTCGGCAAGTAGTGTCCACAGTTCTTTAGTTTACAATAAGTTGTTTAGCAAAAGTCGCCTACTTTGACGAAGACATTCGCGAGAAAGCCGGTCTTTCGACAACTGAAGATGATATTTACATTAACAGAGTGCTACAGTTGAGTACTTTAAAGACCTATCACCTTAAAGAGAGTAGAAATTTACGAAAACTTTCATAAAGGTTTTTCATACAACAAGCTATGAATTAAAGTTCTTGAAACAAAAAAAAAATGGGGACTAAATTCAAATAGTTAATCCCATACAAGTGGACAGTCGCAAAAACTAACAATATATATTGGAGAATACGATCGGGTTCCGCTGAATGAAATCTCGCTCGTTCAACGATTTTACTGGAAACACAAGCGATGACACAAAAAAAGGTGAAAATAATGTACTTCGAGGGTCCACAAAACCGTAACTTATAGAAAAAGAAAAGGTGCGCGTGTGGCGCAGTGATCGGAGTCGCCACTGCGATACACGTGGAATCGAATCCTGCACCCATGGCCCACCAAGCCTGCCATCCCTCCGGGCTAGGCAAATTGGTACCAAACATGTCTGGGAGGATAGCAGCACTGGCTCAATACATCGGTAGGCCACAGCGAGACATTGTAAAAGCCAGATATGCATTTAATCACCACCAACGATATTTAATGAAGTCGAATTCATGGTGTATCTCTTAGGGATTGATCAGCGCCGAGAGCTTTATGCTTTTATCTTTTTATAGAAAAAAAACCTGTAAATCTAAAGGATTTTAAATTGCATAGTTCAATATGATACGATAAATGTCGGCATGTAGTTAACAGCGGCCATCATTATACGCCTTGAAATCAATACGCATCATTTCGAATTTGTTAATGAACACAGTAAGTAATAAGCAGATGAGATAATAAGCTTCGATTTTCACTAAAGCACACCTTCACTACTACACCAGAAAGTCTCGAAAAGAATAGCTCAAGCAAATGTTAGCCTGGGTTTGTTAACGAGTTTTTATCTGAACATAACTAACTATAAGTAATCCAACAACAACGTTGCTGAGATATTTGCAAAACTCTGGACCGCAGGTGTCTATGGTGGGGAACGAACGCGCTATTGTCCTTTCTGGGGAGTAACGCGCTCACCACCACACCATGCGGGTCCTTCGTTTCGTCTGTCTCTCAGCTATTTCTATCCATCTTTTTGCCACAGCAATCACCCGTCAGCGGAGTTGATCTGGGGGGCGCAAATCGGCATAGAACTCAGTTAAGCTATGGTTGTAGTCGAAATCACAATGTTTAACGTTTTGTTTTCTGCTTTCTATAATTTTCATGGCAGGTAAGTAATCCGTTTTTTTGTAATTCTATTTCACACGACCCATCTTCATAGTGTTCGGATGCCAGCACTTCTCACATTCGATTTGTTTCTCGCCGAAAAACTGAAATAAACAAAAGAGACCATTCCTAAAAGGTAACACAACCACTCCAATTTAACCCTTGACTAAAAATCAAAGCGCATAGAATGCATGTAGAGGAAATAACAAAACGACATGAATAAACAGTGCCAAATGTATCGGAAATTAGAAACAAACGGTGAAAATAAAGCGCTATTTCGAAACTCTTGTAAAAAATGTGACAAAAAGCGATGTTGAAACAGGCTCTAGCAAGGATTTGAGACAAGTTATTAAAATTTGAAAAATCCACTTCCGTTAAACCTCGCCATAAATAAACAACACATTCGTGGATTAATAGGCTAAGACGAGAGTGGTATAGAAATATTGATCCAGCTAACATTCTGGCACCTTCTCCTTCTTCAGCGCTGCGCAGATATGAGTCGGCGGTCCCCAGGTGGTTGTCTTCGCCAGGTGTGGGTTCATTGTCGCACTGCGTAGAATCCAGTGAAGCGGAGCACTGTTCGTATGGGGAACTTCACTCGGCGGTGCTATTTTATACAGGAGGAATGTTGACCTGCCGTCTTCATGCAATTTAATCCGCTTTTTTTTTTGCAATAATACATCCTTCAGCAGTTATCGCGAAGATGAAAAAATCGTGAAATAGGAGTCCAGCCTACAAGCAAAAAGGTTCGAAACCCATCGTGGAAGGTGAGAAGATGAAACCAATGAAGGAAGCTCTAGAATCCG